AAGAATATCAATCAGCACCGACCAAAAGAAGGCCTACATATAACCGTCGAGGATGTTTTTTTACTTTACTATTTTATATTATTATACAATTGCCATTATATATTTTGAGACAGTCTAGATCTAGGCCCTCTGGGGCTAGGCGGTCATGTCAATATATCTATAAAGAAATTGTGTAGTTAAACAAAATTAATATCTGCGTAGAGGGATAATTGTGTCGGAATTTAGTTTATCGATGTCGTCGGACTAAATGACACTCGTTCTTGACGACAAACAGTCAGAATTTATACCCGTGCCAAAAGTCCATGTGACGTTAATAAGGACCCCAATTCCACTGTATGATTTAAAACTGGGCGCCTAATTGCTTTTTGTTATGTGCCGTGTTGATATATTTCTTCATAATTACTATGTAATATAAAGCATGTCAATATAAAAATTTGACAGCGAAAATAGCTAAAAATACGTGAATCCTATTCTTTCGCGGGGGTAGGGACATGTATGGCTCATAGATCACGATCTCTCCAGACAAAAAATAAATTAAAAAGTAGTATTCCAACTTATCTTTTAATACATTCTGGACCATATCAAAAAGGTAAATATATCGGAAATATCGGCCTTAATCTAACCGATACCGATACATGGCCGATACCGAAAAAATGGCCGATATTGCCGATACCGATACATCTCTAACCTCAGTGTTTATGCTATATAGGATAAACTAAGCTGGTATCGAATGTTTTACATCCTATTTTCAGATAGGCCGTGGGTCGTATACATCGTAAAAATGATTTATCAAGTACGAACTGGTCCTGGTACTTACGAAGTATGTGAACCAAGATGGAAGACACCGAAACGTAGTATGTGTACTAGGTTAGGGTTAGGTCATAATTTCAGGTACAAATTCTCCGGGAGTCTCTTGGCTAGTCCCAGATCGCGTAATAGAAATAAATTAAGGAAAATTGGAATAAAATTATGGTCTCTGTACTCGGGTATCTATAGTTTGACGTCCAGATATATTGCTTGCTGTCTCATTTGAAATCTCGTCCTTGTCAAACCCAGTCAATTTATCCTTCAACAACATTGTGTTTTATAAATTGTTTTCAATGCATAGAAAACTCAGGATGACTCACCGACGCATATTTATTGGCTGAATTGGTGCGTAGCAAATTCGAAGCTTGGGAACGCGGTAACAGACAGAAAATATTAGGCACACAGCGAAACCGAAGATGTTAACAGCATAATCATTACATTTTGTGATAAACATAAAACAACTTTTAACTGCTTTATCTTGAATAGATAGCGCGAATACATTTTTTTGTGTTAGTCAACCATTCCAGCTTGGAACCTTTTCATCTTAAAAATTAGGACATATCTTGATCTACTGCATCCTGTGCAGTAGCAGTGCTCCCCGTACTTTCACATGCCCCGCATTAAACGTAGGTGTAGTTTAACGGTCATAATTACAATAATGCACAGGTCATCGTGTTAGTTTGGTATACGCAAGCCTCATAAGTAAAGTTACGGTTTTGTTTTTTATCAGTTCTAAAAAAAACATCGTGATGTAAAACAAGGGCTTGTTTTAAATCAATTTTGTTCTGTGTTTTTTATTTAAATACCCCTTGCACCCCCGCTAAATTACGCCAAAACGTTGCGTTCTGGCAGCTGCATACGCTGCCGGATTTAAAATTCCAAAAAAGTAAGTAAAAGTTGTTAAAAGTAAGTAATTATTGTTTTGACTTTTACTTTTTTGCGTACATTCATCGCCACGTTTGTGTCTACACCAAAGTCCTAAGATTTTAACCGGAATGTTTATCCGAGATACCAGAGAGAAGTTTTGAGTAAGAAAAATCATGAAGCTCAGCTTACGAGCATAATACGAAAGCAATTGGAACAAGGCAGCCTTCGGCAAAACGAGTGCGTTACGATAGTAAATAATAAACTATATGAGGCGATTTACTGATTTAAACGATGAGACACCCTAGTCTAGGGCTGGGCTGTGCTAATTGTAACAGCCTTCTCATGCAATGACGCCACAACTAATCTGTTACGACGCCTTGATAAGGATTTCGAGTTTATGTATAGACATTTTTCTCATAAAATAAAAAAAAATTTAGTTAATACTGTTCGGTTATTTTATACTTAACATACTTTGGTTTTAGGGTTGAAATGATAGAGTTTTCCAAAGTTATACAAACTGATTTATTAGATCACATTTCAATTTTCGCAAGGTGGTTTCGTCGCAGGGTTGTCACGTAATGACTTATCGGTTGCGTTCTACTGCGCCAACCACGTTTGCGATCGCACTGAACTACAGCTTGAGAAGGTGTGTAGGGCCCTTTATTGATATTTGTGGCGTATTGAAGGGTTTATTGCAAATAAGAAGCGTTTGACAAGTTTTTACAGTCATTTTCCTTTAACCTATTTAATACAAAAAAATCAAATAGTACAGCCATTTTGAACAAAGCAGGCAAAAAAAACTTGATTTAAAACAATTGTTTTAAAACAATTCCTTTTGAACAAATCCCTAAGTAAAGTCACTTCAATCATAATTGTGGATACTTCCGTGGTATTGCTACCAGGTTAGGGTTAGGCAATAATTTTATTCCGATTTTCCTTATTTTAGTTCTATCACGAGTTCGGGGACTGTCTGTGTTAGCCAAGTGAACATACCCCCTGCCCAGGGTTTCAGTCTTATTATAAAACTTGATGTAAAGTAGGCAAACAAAATTAGTTACCTCCATATTGGGACATACACTTCTGGAGCGCCTGATTTTGTAAAAGATCAATTTCCAGGTGTTATCTTTGTCTTTTAGACTCTGCCTCCCACAATCTGTTTATCATGTGGGCCCGCGATAGTCAATGGTGACTTTGTTAAACTTGCAACGCCCTGCATTGCATGTCGGTAGGGATTTCAATCGCCGCCCAAGGTTCGACTTTTATCCCAGGCTTTATTAGATATATATATACATGCATTCTTATTGAAACTCTATGGATATTATTCCAAATCTGCCAGCTCAGCTGTGAATCATATATACACGGTTTACTTCCTGCGTTTCATTATACAGGGTATCTTTCGCGGAACGTATTGAGAAATTGTTTTTACAGTGGCGGCAATCGTTCGTTACATAATACAATTCAAAAGGCGGAAAATAATATCCCTGATGCATTCCCGTTAATCAACTGTTAACTAGTTGACTGAAAAAATTTCCTGAAAATTAATGTTCAATCAGGCTTACGATTCCGCAATTTTTATAACAGCAACACTACCTATTTTGGTATTCCCGTAGTGTACCAGGTTAGGGTTAGACAAAATATTTTATTCCTATTTTCCTCCATATTGGTACACACACTTCTGGAGCGCCCCTACTTCACTAACTGCTCTCTTAGCATGTATCTGAAAAAGTCTTTTTATGACCTTCAAATTTCGTTTATATCCTGATAATGTGATGCCTTTTATGGCATTTAATTCAAAGTTTAGTAAAAATTAAAGGCTGTCAGAAAATGAAATCTAAAACTCTTAATTTAATTAAAAATAACGTATTCAAAGGTGCGTTGGCAAGCGCTTGGAAATAACATTTAGGTTTTGTAAAATCTATTAACCTTTCGACAACATTTGATACGGAAATGACCTTTTATAAATCAATTATCGCGTCACGCTCACGCAAAAAATTATTGTTTTGTTTCTAGGTGACCAAAACGTGGCGTTACTATTATAAGTCGACAACAGTTTATACTTGGTCGCACTATTCCGTGTGGGCTGGGTTATGCAGAATCGATTTTAGTTGGATTACTCGAGCCGTGGGAAAGCTTATACCCTATTCACACGCTTGGATCACAGCTTGTGGGAAGATTTTCGCAGTTGTGACTTCCAACTTGGGTTCGACTCAAGACACGTCAGGGACAGTCGTAGCCAGAGTCTTGTATTAGATTCTTTAAAACTGCGTTAGATATCAGAGGCGGCATGTATCTACCTGGTCCTGTTGGGAGCAAAAATATTACGCCATATTATGAAAAAAGAATTTGCTCTCACGCTAGTTTCATACAGGGATAGTTATGTGCGAGGGGATTGCTGGACTCCTCGCCCCCGTGGGGTGGTTCACGTCACCGCTGGTAGGTAACGGCGCACTCCACGACCAAGCCCACGCTTCCGAAAACAAATAACTGGCTTACTAATCTCATTCTCGACATGGACTGGTAACCGGACGAGAAACCCTGGTTCGCCATATGATTGAGCCGTGATAAATATGTAAATCCTATCCTATTCGTTTCGCCAAAAATGATACAGTCATTAGTCGATTTAGTCATTGGGGAATTATGCTGCTAAATTCCCTTGATGTCCTGTATGATTTACAAATGTCACTACGATGCGTTGTCTTTACTTCTTGCTTTGATTATAATTTTCGCCATGGAATTTATGCTTCTATCGAAAAAAAAAACTGCATAATCTCTTCACCCAATTAAGATGCCGTGACTTCGAGGAAATAACATTTTTCATCCGAATTAACATATTAATTCTTGCAGACTGTTGTCGATTCCCAATTTCGCATTCATGCAATCCATAATTAATATAATATTTTAACCTGGTCGATTACTAATCGATATTCGCTTGAACGACAAGCGTAGATGGAAGTATTGAGTTAAAAGCCGACGAAAGCATTATTCAATTCCGCTCAATGAACTTTGAAATTGCTGTACTTTTTAATTGTGGGATCGCGAATATCAATAAATTTCAATTTTACGAAACATTGGGGTCACGGAAAGAAAGTTTGGAAAACCTCGGCCTAGACCAATGAACCACAACTGTAAATGAAGACCACATTCCAACATAGTATTTAGGATTTGCACAGGGCGATGGCGTTCATGGAAACGTAAACACAAAATATGACGACACAGTACCATATCGCAATACTGTGACAATGTTTCATTCAAGACGTCATAATACGGTCCTAACCACTTCTAATGTCTCAGAAACTGGCACAGCTGCATAGTACAAAACAAAACTGTTTTACATCATGAATGATATTCATATATTTGTAATAGTACATAATCATAAGATACGAATGTACAGCTGGTAAATACAGACAAAATGTACAATAAAATATCTACACTACACTACATAGGTATAAATACTGGGTCAGAAATTAAGCCACTCTAAACTCAGTTAGGTGAAATCAAGTATTAGTAGAAGATGCATGAACGGTATATGTAAGTTGAATACAATTCCATTGCTATTTTATATATATGCTCAAATCTATGCCAAGATAGTTTGAGTTCAACACAAGACAATGGGGTGCGCTATTTGACCAAATAATATACCTAACAGAATAAAAATTTAAGAAAATTATTGATCATTAGAACAGCTTTTCACTGAGTATGGACTTATAATTGAACTAACAGTGTTATATGCATTGATTTGATCAGGGAAATGCCTCAATAAATGTACAAAAAAACACCATCCAACTGAGTAGAGCACTGGCATCAATTTCTGACCATATTTACCATCGACAAACTACTGTATATGCACTATGCTATTAATACAATCAATATCTTACACCAATGAAAAAATAAAGTTGAATTATCACCAAAAATCAAGACAAAATTCAAAAAGTTGTGATCAGTAACAGGTAGATGGTAGTAAAATTAATTTTTATAATATAGGGTGAGGCAAAAAAACTTCCAAAATATCTTTTTAATTTAAACCCTGTAATATCACTTTAAAACCAAGCATTAGAATAGCAAATAGAGATACAATTTGGCATGTCGTGGATGCTAAGGTCTGTTGACCAATCCTAGCCTGTGGAAGGATGAAATAGCATAGGATTCACATATTTAGGAAAGCTGATAAGACGGCTTAATCATATGGCGAACCACTGCCTCTCGTCCGGTTACCAGTCCAGGTGGGTATGGGATTAGTTAGCCAGTATGAAGAATAACTTATGCTCTATACTCTGGATGCTTCTATCAACGATAATCTAGAAACTGATTAAATATTTTACATCTATTAGGGACTTCAATTACATCAACAACAACAATAAAAGTGCCTTATTTGAAGAAGTGTGTTTGAATGTAACGCTAACATAATAAAGCAAAGTACACAAAGGACTATCTGTCATATATCACATCATGATTTTTTAATAAAAAGTTTGAATTTACTATTTAACGAAAATTCATCCAAGCAGCAAAGAGACACTGTACAAATGCTATTTATTTTAATATTGGTAACAGGTATTTTAAAAAAGTTCAGTTCGGATTTTAAAATTGGACTTTTGGATAAAATTTGAATCCAAAGCATGAGTTATTTTCTCATGATTCGTTTATATTAAGTCTCCTGAATTTAAAATAATTTCCTTTCCATAAAGCATATATGTACAGTGTACACTCGGAGAAAAAACATATCATGAAATCACAATATATTGTAACTAGATGATATAACATCAATATTTTTAGAATAACACATAAAACCATATGTTCCCATAAACGTTTCAAGATCAGACAATGATATGATGAAAATTATTACCAATAAATAATTCATCTCTGAAATCTGAACAGTGAATAGCCATTTGTGCAAAAGCATTCTTCCTAACAAATTCAAAAAATAAGGGTATCCTAATTCGTAACATTACACAATGTTGCCAAGTGCAAACTCATTGGCTAATTCTCAGTTTTAGTTCATCATAGCTGCCTGAAACAGACTGCTATGGGGAGAACTAAACTAATACTAAGGAAGTTAATGTTCAAGTTTCATATATGATGCTAAACCTCTCAGCTTATGCTCAATAGCTGGTCAATAAAAACTAGCTTCAGTTAGTAATACACAGCAATACATTTCAGCATGACAATGAAACCAAAATATCAAATTGAATTATCTATTCAATTACATATTAAAATTTGTTCTTTCCTCAGATACACATTGAAATTTTAGTTCATTGATTACCAGGGAGCCCTTTCCCCTGTTAAACATAGTTTCACTACGAAACTTGGTCTCAAGGGTGTAGTGGAATTCTTATTATTGCTTTGGAGTGTCATCAGAGTACCGTAAATTTTCAGATAAGGTTGTATTCAAAATTTCTGCTATGAAACAAGCTTTGACTTTGAATAATGTAACTAGGATACTTTGGCAACAGAATGATATTGACAACTTCATAATATGACAAATTTTGACTAAGAAAATGGGAAATCCGAAAAAAAAATCAGTAAATCTGATAGTCATATTTTTATTACCGGCCTCGCTTAATTTTTTTAAACTAAATTCTCAGGACAGATAGTCCAGGCCCAATTATTACATAAGACTCTACTATTGCAAAAAAGTCTGGTTCGCATCATCTAGACATTTGTAGCAAACATGGTCTTGTCAATCTATAAGAATTATTTAAAACAGCAAGAAACAAATACCAGACTATTTTGATGCAAACATCCCACCGCAGATATTCTATATTAATGTATCTTTCACTAAACACTCGTATTAGGAAATCAGGTTTCTCAAGTAATAACCTGTCTAAAGAACATAGATGTCAAGACATGGTTTAAATCATCAATTTTTAGACTTGACATTAATTTCATGACAAAAATTTCTAAATAAATCGGCTTCAACCAAAGAGCACCTTCAAAATTTCATGCGAACAACTTCATTATTAGTGGTATGTGCAAATTTTTGTGGCAATAAAGAAATATTACAATGATAAAAAGAAAGCTTCATCACTTCAAAATGGACCCTTTTCAAAAAAAAAAAATATATATTCCATGAACAAGAAAAATTAGATGAATATTAATTATCGTAAGTGGAAAAATTGTCTAATTTTAATACAAGTCTGCAAACAGCAAGGCCATGAGCCCTCAGCTATAAGTGAATAATAATATAGATGTGCAAAGCAAAAGCGCTTGTGATTGATTTGTCGAAAGTTACTGGACAAATGTACCAGCGGCCACTTGACACTATTCTGACAGAACTTTCATGGAAAGCTCAATGTCTTGCTTCATGCAGTCTTGTATATAAAACTAACACAAATTAAATGGAACTATACCTTTTTCCAAACATTAGCAGAAATAACCAAAGGTATATAAGGTCAACCTACAAAGTCCTCTTTATATTTCATTTTTTCGACACTATGCTAATATTTGTAACTAAAACTACAATATAACATCACACAATAATATATTATTAGTTCATGAAGAAATATGGTCACAATTTTTTTTAAACATTTATTCAAACTAGAAATGTCAAATATTCAAGCATTCTTGACTGCACATAATGCATTCCAATAATCAACTGCAAGTATCAGCACGAAATATCGCATCAAAGGTAAAATCAGTTTTATTTTGTAGTTTTGTATGCCTTGATCTTTATGCAAGATAAGTGTCACAGGTAAATTGATCCAAATTCCAGATCCATACTTCAGAGTCAATCAAACTAGAAAAACGTGACTTTAGTAAAGTGGTTATAATTGAGCACTTAGACTCCTTGCAACAAAGCAATAAGATGGATTTTTAATTGATGATACTTCACAAGAGGTAATGGAATAATTGATTGAAGAAACGATTATGATTTCATAAAGCAAAGACAAGTAGCATGGATATTCAACATTTCTAGTTTTATTTAATAAAATATAATAAGGATATTACAATAAAACAATGACTCGTTTTCTCACAATTATTGCACACCCCGGTATAACATTGCTTCACAGTCTCTCACTACAAGCTGAAAAGGGTGCGGACTGATAGAGCACAAAATTGGTTAGGGGAATAAGGAAATTTGGAGTATAAACGTATATAATCTTGGCCCACAATTTTATCATAGCAGTTTAAATAAATGTTTCACAATAAGATATGGGTTTGATCAAAAAGTGCATAAAACAACAATAAAGATCTTACAACTAACTTTGTGCTCATAACAGTCACAGAGAAATGACAATTGCCTCAACCCGATGATGATGGTACATAAATATATGCACAAAAATATAAGATGATTTTAAGTGTGCAAAAGGATATAAAAGCCCACAAACTAAGGACCTAAACTCTACAGTAACGAGTTAGAAAGGAAAATAATTCAGTCTGGATGTAAGGTCTTTGCTTGAAAATCAACATGCACAGTTTCCTCCTTCATTTTCAGATGAATCTTCTTTCAGTTGTGTACCCTTGTTTGCGTTCCCGATTGTTGGGTCAGTATCCAAACTTTCCGACATTTTGTCACAGATCAGATCGACAAGACGCTCAAAAACTTGTTTTACATTGATATTATCTTTAGCACTTGTTTCGAAAACTCCAAACCGAGTTGGTCGGCAAGTTGTTTACCTCGTTCAGTTGTAACCACTCGTTCATCTTCCATGTCACATTTATTTCCTACAAGAATGACCTGCGCATTGTCCCACGAGTATGTTTTGATCTGAGTTGACCAATCTTGCACACTGTTGAATGAATCTTCATTTGTGATGTCATACATAAGAATAAAACCCATTGCACCCCTGTAGTAGGCAGTTGTGATGGTTCTGTACCGTTCTTGTCCAGCTGTATCCCATATTTGAAGTTTTACTCTTTTGTCTTGGCGAAATACCGTTTTTACTTTGAAATCAATTCCCACGTGGATACAAAAGCACTGGTAAAACTATCATCTGCATACCTGAACAAGAAAGACGTCTTTCCAACGCTGCTATTTCCAATGATCAGTAACTTGAACATATAATCAAAATTTTGATCAGCAGCATCTTTCTGTTGTTGCTGTTTTGCGAGTTATTTGTGCTGTTCGTCGCCATTATTCCAGACTTCCTGTAGTCTTAGTAAACAATAAATACACTCTACAATAAGTATCTGCAACAGAAATACCTTCACGTCGCCGTTAAAACGTCGATCGTACAGAAGAACGCAAGGATCAATAAATCAGCGAAACCTTCTGTTGGTCTAACAACGCCAGATGCCGCGACCTGAGCTAATCAATACCAAAAACTCAAAAACGCTATTCTGGGACGACGTATTAATCATTCAGTGAGTCAATGGGTAGCCATTTTGTGCTCGAAAACCATAGAAAACGCACCTATAATATCTGTATATTGACGGGTCCTACGAATGTTGCTGCCTCTAAACAAATTGGAAAACGAATAGTACGGTACGTATCGTTCCGGTACCGGTATTCGATTTTAATTACAAACCAATCGAACTAAAACTCCGTGGAAAGCAGGCAAAGAAAAAATCGATATTTGTGCGCTAGTTATCGATCCAGAGTATTAAAAATTGATAACTTTTCAGGATTTATAACGGATGAGAACCCATGTGCACAGTCTCAATTTGTAATTATAATTTCAGCGTAGATCAATGAATTCTTAGCAATTTGTCGAGCGTCAACAATTACTAACATTCGTTTCTCCTCTCAAAAACCACCAAGTGGCAAGTACGTACCCACGTAATCGGTACGATCGGTACTTCTCATTAGCGTCAACTATGGAACAGCAAAATGTATTATTCTCATTCGTCAGGTGGTGATAGCGAGCAGGATCACTCATGCGTAATAAGTGCCATGACAACCACTTAGCGGTGGGTCAAAGGTCAATTTATTATCAACCTGATTGTAGATTGAATGATTGAACATGCGGATTGAATTTCATGCAGACCTATGTTTATCGCTTTAGTGGATTGTTTGGGATTTGTAAAGATGATTGATCCTATTCTTCGCTGCGCTGCCGAGAACCCAGAATAGTCCCACATAAAATAGCATTCTGATAATCTCGCTCGATAAGTCTCGCTTTTTTCACTTCCGACAGTATCATGTCTCGATGATTGTGTGTATCTATGTGTGTGTGTGTGCGTGCGTGCCTTAATTAGCTTTTTTTTTCACTTTTGGGTGAGCGAACACGTACTACTTCTTTTATCAATACCTTTCCATATAAAATCTGTACGTTTCAAACCTTACTCGAGCTTTTGTTCGCTCTCCCGATTCTATAATCAGTTACTTTTATTTTTGTTTTTATCTATTTTTATTATCGTCTATTGCTGATTATGGAGTCGAAATAAACTTATACTTATCTCGACGTTTAGCAGATTCAGAGATTTGAGCTGTTTTGCCAGTTTCAGAGTTTGTCTGGTATTTTTTGGTTCAAAGAAAGGTTCAAATATACCGAAAGGCGAATTACTAACATGATACAGTGATAAACGGTACCAGTATACTGTCTTAACAGTAAAAATATTTACATTCAAGTTCCTAAAATAAAACCAAGAGTGGATAGCTGCGGATTCAATTACAATACAATTTATTTCGGCATTCCGAAACACAGCACTCATAAAACAAAATGGATAATACAAATGTCTGGAAAATAAACAAAATTTGAATAGTATTTAAAGTTTATTAGGAAATCTAGCTTCGAATAATAGGAGGCGATGAATCTTGCGAAGCTTTACAAACGCACTTCCAGCACCTCTGATTACCTTGCAGGGATTCGCAAGTACACATCCTTTTGGGGATAGCTATGAGAAATAGGATTGCTGGACTTCCCGGTGCCGTAAGGTGGTTCACATAACCACTAGTTGGGTATGGCATCCTCCAACATCAATTCCGTGCATCTGAAACAAAATGACTGGCTAACCAATCCCACACCCGACCTGGGCTGGCAACTGGATAAGATGCCGTGATTCGGCATGTTATTAAGTCGTCTTAACGGCTTTTCTCCTTGCGAGATAGATATGTAATTCCTAACCTATAATCAGAAATAATGAAAATATTCATCCCATCATTGCTCTCATATTTTCAAGAAAACATGAGGAAAAAATTAATTGTGTAAAAAATTTGTTCTTGGCGAGCTGAAGCATAAAACAAGACCAATATCCGCCTGTCAACAAAAATGAAATATATTGCAAAACAGGCCTAGACGATTCAGATATATTTTATCCATATGATCTAAAGTAAAACTGTACACACACAAGCAATGATTGCATTGAACACATGATTTATTTCAGCTTTTCTTTCCTTCTTAAGATGAGCTATTAACTGATTATTTAGTTGAATAGTAGGATAAGCATCAATATATAATCATGGCGTCAAAAATAAACCCTGATTTGAGTGTTGCTATCACTCCTGCTTCTGGACCAAAAAGCTCCAATCAAACTCGACAAGCCCTCAAGACAAGCCAGAGTCGATTAAATACAACCAGCAAGAAGTCGAAACATAATATCAGACAAACGTCGTCAAGATACGACAGTCGTCAAGCAGATGCTGCTTTAAGACAAGCAGCTGAAGGTGGTTATCTCATTTCACCATCAAGGGCATTTCTTCTTGAAAGGTGAGAATTGGAATTAACTAGTTGAAATATATTTTATCTGATAAAACTACATTTTATTTATCAGTTTTCTTTGATAATTAAAGGATAATGACCAATAATCCTATTTTATAATGTTATTGCATAAAGTTCATGGAACTATGCCAGTCGGTGACAGTGATGGGTAGGCCAGAGTAAACGACTTGAGTTCGACGGAAGTCAGCCTTTATCAAAGTTTGTGACTTATCAAAGTCATTTATGAAACTTTTCAAAAATAATAAAAATGATTTGTAGCGAAAGTCGGAAGTTTTTTTGACCGTGCCGTACAGTGGGCTAGATGAAATAAGGTAAACTTCTGAGTCGTTTTGGCCTTTGTGCTCATATATTCGAGCATCGCTCTCTTATATTCCCATCGGATTATATTATGGAAACTGCTTTTTTGATAGGCACTGAATTTTTATATTTAAAATTTAACCTGTAAAGCAATGATTTTAATCTTTATATATACTTTGATCATCTTAGATGCAAAACAACCGACAAAGAAACTCGATCCCTTCGTGAAATAGAATATCTGCAACTCTCGTTCATGCACATCCGAACACTTGGACATATTCAATCTTGTCGACATTTGCGAGTTTGTATTTTGAACAATAATTATTTGACACGCTTCAGCGCACTTGCTAACTGCCCAGAATTAATACGATTGGATCTTCATAGCAACCAGGTATATATATATATATCTTACTCTACGTTTAGTTGAAGTTTATATTTTAGCTTAAAATTTGCTCAAAGTAAGGTCTTGAGACCTTTATTAATATTGGAAAAAGTATTTTTAGAAAAATTGCAACTACTATCCCACTAAGAGCTAAATAATTATCGTAATAAAATTATATAGTTGGCTATTTCAATTTACAACATAACATTCAAGTATTTGTCAAGTACGTTGGTCGTTGATATACAGCGATATCATAATTCGAAGTGTAGAAATTTTGTTCAGCCAGTTGGTACAAAGTTCTAAACAATTCATTATAAATATATTACGACAATTGGGTAATTTTGTTATTGTCATAACCACAAGATGTTGTTTCTTTTTTCGCTTTAAACATCTCTAGTATAAAATAGAAGCCAAAGACTTGTAAATATTCATTCAACTTTTACGCTCTCGACATAAACAGAACTTGTTTTTTATTTACATGGTAATACATCATTTTTTTACATTCATATTATCAAGATTACGAAGCTTCCAGATGAAACATTTTGGGCAAATCTCGAAAGACTTAAGATTTTAAATCTCCATGACAACGGGATTGGTAATCTAGACTCCGTTCAGGTAAAATAGAATAGGATTTTTCATATTTACTCTGGAGTAGAGGAAAGTCGTTAGGACAGCTCAATCATTCTTTTCTGATCGCCAGATCATGTCGGTTCCATTACATTTGAACCCACGTACATTTGAACCCATGACAATTGCACCTGTATGCTATTGCACCTATGGAATTTTTTTTGTTTCACGGATAGTTAAACCCATACTAACCCTAACCCATGGGTTTTAGCACCCGCATATAGATTGAACCCGTGGATATACGCATGGGTTCAAATGTACATGGGTTCAAATGTACGGTCACCTATCATGTCTGGTATTGGAAAAGTTGTTCAGCTTTTTGCTTTAGATGTATGGACTGCATTGCACTAGGAATTACTTTCATCCATATTCCATATTGCTATGGTTATCAAACCTATCATTTCAATAATTTACTTAGAAAAATTGTACTTTCATATGGGACTATTCCATGCATATGAAAAACATGAGGCAAATATGAGATGGCAGGAATAACAATTCACTTTAAAATTGTTCGTTATTTAAATATTTATAAGACTGTTGCTCACTATCTTACGCTGAATTATTTTATGTTAACCATATTATGGGGTTCGAGTTACATAGTTATTGAAATTTTTTCTTTTTTATCCCAGGGTTTGTCCGTTTGCTCAAGGTTGACTGTTCTGACATTGTATGACACCCCAGTATCATTAAAACCAAATTACAGGTTAGAATTTTTCAATACTGGTATATGTTATATGTGTCTTTTATTTATGTATGTGATGTGTATATTTCATGTATAGAATGTGTGTCTTCTATTTATATATGTAATATGTGTCTTTTATTTATATATGTGATGTGTGTATCTTTTATGTATGTAATGTTTGTCTTTTATTTATGTTCAAACACTTCATCTTGTGAATACTTCTTTTTTTAGACATCACACAGTTAACAGTATCTGGACTCTGAAAGCACTTGATCATCATGTGGTTAGCGATGAAGAAATAATTGAGGATGCTCAGTTTAATGGGAGATTTCGGTCTTATCATCCATCTCTTGCTATTGATCTTTGTCCAAAAGAAAAACTTGTGAGTATTCATTGATTTTGTGATCTCACTTTTATAAGGTTGTATTACGAACCCAATTTATGGTTATGGTTTTATGGTTATTACCAGGTTATGATTATGCCATTATTTTATTCTGGTCTTTTTTATTTTGGTTCTATTATGAGTTCGAGGAATTTGTGTTAGCCAAGTGAAAATACCCTGCCCATAGGTTTCAGTCTCTTTACACAACTTGATGTAAAGTAGGTAAACAAAATTAGTTACCTCCATATTGGTACACATACTTCTGGAGCGCCCAATTTAATTCATATCTTCAAATATTGAGATACTCGGTGTGATGTTGTTAAACTGTCCAAAGAAAGATAACAGGAATGAAGATACTCATTTGGGTTGTTTCTTATTACATTGTTAGTAGTGATTTGAATACAATAATTATGCTACAATATCATGGATGCAGTATATGCTTCCGACAAGGTAAGGTGGGGCGAACTAAAAAATACTAAGTAGTGCTAAATAAAAAAAAACGTAGGAGACGTGCTTGGTTAGAAAATCAGAGTCTTTTGCTTCCTCCTATGCATGAGGTATTTCACAAGTTCATATTTCATACTGAATAAGAGCAGTCGCCCACACACAGGTGCCTTTTGGGTTTGAGTAATCACATCTCTCTCAACGTGGATGAGGAGGTTGCTTAGACTGAATCAAAAAGCACTTGAATGTGTGATTTCGAACTTTGGTGGATTTTTTCTCTTAGTTTACCTGAATTTGGAAAGGCTGGATCTCATAGACCGGAATTGAAAATAAACTGAATAATAAAAATACCCTATTTCACTCAGCCTCCCTCGTCGCGTACTCTTGCTTTTGAACTAAAAGTTGTAAAAAGAATTCTTCAAGACATCAATACAATACTTGCACACGGTTCTCCTGTGATTGTGATTCAGAGGTGGATACGAGGACATCTCGCCAGAAAACGAAGAGGAATAAAATACAATCAAATTGTGTGAGTAGAATAAAAGAAAATACAAAAGTCGATGCTGTTGATTTTTGGAGAATTGAGTTTTGATTCCTATATTGTTACATTTAATTGGAATTCAGAAATTGAGAATTCAAATAAATATAAGAAAAACCATCCAAGACTGACATGGGCAAGGTACAGCCTGCCGGCCAGTTTAGCTAAAAATAGCTCAAAGAATTTGTTTTTAATGGTGATTAAAGGCTTATCGTTTTTCACATTTGCTCTTGTAACACTGTAAATATTATTCATAAAATGTAACTTTTGACGTCACGCTTAAATGGCCCGCCAGTCTAGGCGAGCAAAATGTTTAGCCCCTGGTCAAAAAACCTTGGTCACCTCTGATCTACTTTTCTGACCTCTGATAAATTGCAATTATATTGAATAAATCGAAAATAATAGTACGGTAGTCGGTAATACTACACTCGGATATAAAGTAAAATTTCCTTCCCCAAAGCAAAAAATTCACCAGTCAATTCCAACCTGGTTAGGAAACGCCGCCTTAATCATATCACAAGCAATGGACTCTTGTTGCTAATCCAGGTTGGTTATAGAGAAATACCAATTTCAGGCACATGATTAGTGCCTTATATGCCTCTACTTGTGTATAGAATAGAACCCACTATTTCAGGAAATGTGTAATAATCTTCATTATTGCTCTATTTTACAGAGAGAAGTTACGAAAACATTCTCGACTCAGTGCCACACAACCAACCCCAGGGGAAGGATATGACATTGATTTTGATACTTATATGGAGGTGATGCATCATTTCGCTTTCGCCTACTTTGAACTAGTTTGTAAATTATGTCCGATATGGTATTAGCAGATAACAGGACAGAACCGGATTAAATAATCATTGCTATTTTACTTGCCCACAAATGTGAAAAGTTTACTTTCATGTGTTGTCTTGCCAAAACATACGGCATGTATGCAAAGAAAACTTCATTAAAAATTATTCTGCAATCAGTATTGTTTGCTGATGACTTTTTACTTATTTAACAGAAATAGTCAGATTATAACACAACTACAACTGCTGAAGAGCATAACACAAAGCTCTAAAATATCATGCATTGTGTCTCAAAAGAAACTCTCAACTTCTCAAGTGACCTCTACTGCCAGTGCCCTTTTACACTTCTCCAATTCCAAACATTATCAATTCTGTAATCATGAATCCAATTAAAGTAATTACATTGAAAAAATGAATTGATGATGCTTTTTTTCCAGAATCGAAGGCCGGGCTCAAAGACTCCTAGTGGTGGAAAAAGCAGAAGAGCCGAGTCATTTCCAAGTCGATTACAAAGAGAGGTAAAAGAATTTAGTTTTGCGGCGAACCCAATGTGCAATGCCACACCAATTAAATTTAGAATAGGATTTACACATTTATCTTGGGAGAGTAGAAAGCCCATGAGATGGCTCAATCATATAGCGAACCAGGGTCTCTCAACCGTTTACCAGTCCAGGTCAGGTATGGGATTTGTTAGCCATTTATTTGTTTTCGGAAGCGTGGACCTGATGGTGGAGGAAGCCTTAATCGACCAGCGGTTACGTGAACCACCCTACGGCGTCGAGGATTCCAACAATGCTTTCGCACTTAATTAATTGGGATTCAAACTTGCGAACCCACACAGGGTAATCAGACATGCGGTGGCGAGCGTATTCCTAACTCTCAGCATGATGCGCCACACCATCGAACCAAGCCTAACAATTTTTAAAATTGATTGTAAATATTAAATATATCAGCTAGAGCTAAAAAGTAGAAGTTCATTAGTTCATAACCTAACATTTGTTTATTCAGGAAACTGCCGACTCTACAGACATGAACATCCCAACTTCACTTCATATCAATCTTGCCAAACTAGAAAAAGTTGCCATGAAAAAGTTATGTGAGTCCTAATACATTGCTTAAATTGATGAAATCACTTACATGGACTATGATTGTGTATTTTAGTCTTTGTTTATATTTATAATCTGTTAATCATATGGGCTTAATGTCCTGCTGGAGGATTATTATGTGCAACCTACTACTGGGCACTTACATTTTGCGGTGGACTGTTAACTAGGCTACAGGCCATAGTTCGCCATATAATTACTCCTCTCCCCCGCTTTGATATAAATATGAGAATCCTCTCCTATGTCCTAGACCTAGTCAATATAGCTGTTGGCGTCATAGATATTTCATTCATAGATATATTTTCTTCAAAAAGATGACATACATAAAAACAGGAAAAAGTTTTGAGAACAATCGTCATAATAACAATCGTCATAAGTTCAGTAGTGACCTAAAAAATGTTTAATAATTATACATGGTGTTCATGAAGTCCTTTTACAATTTCAATTTTGTAATGAAGTCAGTTTTCAATATATCCCAACAAGTTTTTTTTTTAATCAGATCAAGTATTTTTACTTCATTTAGTACATTTGTGAGGTTCAAAACGATATATTGTGTCGATAAATTCCCTTTGCAATATTGAATTTTTTAAGACTTTATGGTCACCCTATATATATATATATATATATAACATTGTTTGTCTTTTGAGGTCTAATCAATTTGAACTATGTATTTGTGAACTTCAAATTTGCTCTGATTATTTATCTAACCTTTGACTTTCACCAGTGCAACAGTCACCAGATCTGTCCGAAATTGTTCACATAACAAGAGGAGAAAAACCTCAGAAAGGTGTAGAATTTGCTGAACAGAAAAAAGGTTTGTATGATAGTGTGATTGTGATACATGTTTGGGTGCTCCAGAAGTGTGTGTACCAATATGGAGATTTTATTCGCCCATTTTACTTCAAGTTGTGTAAAGGGACTGAAACCTATGGGCAGGGGGTGAATTCACTTGTCTAACACAGACAGTCCCTGAACTCGTAATAGAACTAAAAGGAGGAAAATCAGAATAAAATTATGGCCTAACCCTAACCTGGTACACATACTATGGGAGTACCAAATAATGACCCCATTGTATGCGGAGAACATGCTTACCATAGTTATTCCCTTGTAATGACTTTAGATTATTTTGTTGTCTTGAATTTTTGATCAAAAATGCGATGGACAAATTTTAAAACTTAGGGCAAATCATGCTGCTTATTTATGTGCTTTTATTTTTATGCCTTCAATTTCAAATTGTGGTTGTAAAAATCATTTCTTGTGTTATACACTACCAAGATAGCTATTTTGCTTCTGCTATAAACAATAGTAAGAAAGGTAAAGATGTCGCTGCTCGATAACCAGCTTCGGTTCCCTGCGTCTTCCGTTCTCCCGTAAAACAGTGTCATTATTATTTTCTTATAAGTTGGGCTCGTGTGATATTTTTTTACTGGCTAGAAAAATAACTTGACCTTGACCTATGATTGGAATTTTCGTGTTTATCCTTCCGTATTGTTCCTTAGATTCTCCGTCTCCGTACCGACAAAAAGCACGTATAGAGCAAGGAAAACCCAAACGACGAGACCCACAAACCGTACAACAAATGCTGGGACCAAAAGAAAGTCTTGTCCAACCACCAAGCCCCTCGAAAGCTCCTGGATTTCCTTCTCAGCATGCAACACCGGGACTTGAGTTGGGGGTCAAGGTTGAAGACCTGTGGGTGAATGGAGAACAACCTCAGCACACATGGAGGATACATAGCAGACAATTCAGATTAGATGTTGATAAACCTCCTGCAATGGAGGTAGGTTTTCATTTTACATTGACTGAATGAGTGTTGATAAGTCATTGAATAATTGTCGATGGTTATAAAAATTTAAGTATCTGAAATTATTAAACCATTAGTAATATTGCTATTTTAAGCGAGTATAACTTTCAAGACCTTGCATATTGGCCTGCATTATACCATCACAGGTCATAGACTGTATGTTCAGGCCAACCCGTAGAATTCAGTGGTTCCCAAAATAGGGGTAATTACCCCTAACAGGATAATTTGACAGCTTCAGGAGGTAATTCAGGGGTTCACTGTATTAACAATTTTCTTGTAATACCCGACCTTTTCGCTGATCTGCTACATCTCGTCAATGAGCATTATTATGTCAAAACGTAGTCAGCCGCGCTGATAGTAGAGACATAATAACAGTGCTTCTCTGTATAGATTGCGGGCTAAAATGTTAATCGAGCAAAAGTTCAACATTCCAAAATTGATAGCCGATTGTATTAGACTTTGTGACTTTACACTAGAAATTGAGAAGTAATTGAGCCTCTGACAATTAAATTTGGGGGTAACGATATTAAAAAGTTTGGGAACCACTGCCCTGGATGGTGAAACACTAAGCCTATGAACACTATATGAGTGTAATAATGGCAGTTTTGCGATACCAGACCTTTCATTTTAGCTATTTTCTAATGTTTGAATGCAGTTTAGATTTTCTCTGGTATTTGGTATTGCTAAAGTCTACAGTCTATTTGCTGTTTTCAGATTGACCCCATGCAAGATCATGTGATGATGACCCAGGAAGCAGGAAGGGATATCAGGGAAGCAGAAGAATTTTGGCATGATCAACAGGAGAACAGACCTAAACCTGTTGCAAAGAGGCACAAACCAGAAGCCAGAGTGAGCTACCTAATTCAAACTGTTTTTTTTTTATTGTCTTCATGGTTTTCTGATGTGTGTTGAATATGTGTGAATATGATTTTTATTCAATAATTTAAAAAAAATTATATCTGAACTTTTTGCGGGTTTGAAATCACATGATCTCAATAATTTCAGCTTTCTCTTCTTCTGATGTGCGAGCTCCATCGGTTTTGCGGACTTAAACAACATAAAACAATATGTGTATACCATCACTTGCTAGTGTCAATGTTGTTTGCGAAATAAAGTCTCTCTTGACAGTTGATTCACTCATTTGAGCATTAGTGATCACTCTTTGCAAATTTCAAATCTCACATGAATATTTCCTTATGAAAGGATTGCCATATTATTAGGCCATAGCTGTAAGATTCAACGAAAGAATAACACACTAACAAAGGCTAAATATAACTCAACAAAGACCAATGATCTCTGCAACATGACAGATCATCAACAGTTTCCTACCAGATACTGGCAAGAAATACCATATTTGATTGACTATATAAATACCATGCTGTACAGTGCAATAAGAGCTTTGTGAATGGTGGCATACATTTGTCAATTACCATCCACTATTTTTTGTTATATTCAGTACAAAGACCAAGTTAGTCTGGCAACGCTCATCGCTGTATCAAAAGCATATAAAGACAGAGATAGAGCAGATCAACTTGCATTGAAAATGGATAGAGTTTTAAAAATACAACAAGAGAAATTACAAGCGAAACATATCGTCAATGCATATAAAGTAATTTAAACTGATCTTTCATTTAATCTATATTTCATTAATTAGGTAGAGATTTCAAATTTATGGTGGGAAAGAAAAATATTACCTTGAACCAGTGGTTCCCAGCCTTTTTCGTTAATTTCCCCCCTTCGCCCAGTTTTGAACTCTTCATTCCCCCCCTCACTACATGAAAACTACGGTACTTTATTTATTCAATCTTCAATGGGTACTCCTGAAGTAAACGTATCAAGATGGCGGACACCGGAACATAGTATGTGTACCAGGTTAGGGTTAGGCCATAATTTTATTCCAAATTTCCTTATTTTAGTCTTTTTACGAGTTCGGGGACTAGACAAGTGACTCCCGTTGTATTTGTACCTGAAATTGATGCCTAACCTGGTACTGGTACACATACTACGTTCTATCTTGGTACACATACACTCCAGGAGCGCCCTTTAATGGATGCTTAGCTAGTGTTATGCGCAAGTTGCACCCTCACTTTTGTACGGTTTAAATAGTTGTGATGTGTGAATAAAACTATCATAATAAGTTATGAAGAACCGAATAATATTTGTAATATTACAGCAAATACAAAGCCAAGTTCCCTTTTGTGGCGAAATTCCTTCCGGTTGGGAAACGTATCTTAAACCTTGTCTTAGATAAATATAATGAAATCACTTGTTTAGATTTTGTAAATAATTTCAATATTTGGCAAAAACTTCTCTCATGCTGAATAAATATGTTAATTACAGGAAGAACGACGCAACATGGCACTAAACAAACGTCAAGAAGATAGAATCAAAGTAACTCGTGCTTTACAACAACAAGAAATAAACCGAGTTGCATATATTGAATATGTAAGTTGTTCAGATGAGCTTTAAACTCCGGTAATCAGGATTTGAACCTAAAGTCTCATAATCACAAAAATCTAAGCCATCAATTTGAAATATGTGTGAAAGTTTTTTCTGGTGATTTGTGAATTTTGACTGTTGTAGGTTCATAAATCTTGGAGGAATAATTATTTGCATGACTATTTCCATATTCTCATTTCTATTGTGTTGGCCACATGATTGCTGGCTTTATCTACCATCCATATTCATGCTCCTGAAATGATTATTTCGTTAGCGAGAGTCTGTGATTTACTATATAATCAAGTTAAGGTTGTTCCCGTACTCTAATTGGACTGGTAATGGATTGCAATATAAATGTTGAAGCTGTTTTATCAGAGCTCCAAAAGTGTGTGTACCAATATGAAGGTAAATAATTTTGTTCACCTACTTTACATCGAGTTGTGTAAAGGGACAGGAGCCTATGGGCAGGGGGTATGGTATATTCACTTGGCCAACACAGACAGTCTCCGAACTCCTAATAGAACTAAAATAGGGAAAATCTGAATAAAATTATGGCCTAACCTGGTACACACACTACGAGAGTACCGTTTTATCAGCTGTTCTCTCTCCTGTAATAAATATGTAATTTTTTGTTTTTAGGCCCAAGAAAGAAAAGAGAAAGCAATTCGACACCACCAAGCAGTTCATAAAGATTTGATGTTTGCTGCGGACTTTAGTAACCAACACACATCAGTCTCTAGCGCCCTTGTGAGACATGACCGACAGTCTAATATGGATGATATTGTGGCAGAAAAGAAAGAGATAGTAAAAGGAATTCAGGTATGTAATATGCAAATAATAAACACTCCCATTGTGAGGTAGAGACCTGGGGATCTAATCTTATTTGGCCCAATGGCCAACCTATACAACTTGTTCTGCGTAATGTGTGATATACTTCAGTGTTACTCAAACTTTTTTCATCACGACCTTCAAAATCAAATTTTTTCTTGACCTTCAGAAACTAAAATAAAAATGAATTAGAATTCAATAATGCAGAAAATATAAAATTGATAACACTTTCAATAAGACTGATGTGCTTGCATAGTCTCGCACAAAACATAAATTCTTGGTCTATTTCGGTGAGGGTGGGTCTCCCATGCCCCTATGAGCCTTTCCCTTGACCCACTGGGGAGTCTTCATCTTTGAAGAGCCCTGTTATACTACTTAAATCAATGCCATCATGCCGCTGTTTCCAGTTATGGTAATTTGTGTAAATACAGGCAAATGATTAGTTAGTGCCATCTCCATGCTTTAGGTTCAGCTGTCTGAGCAAGCAGATCTGGTACGACGATACATGGAACACAAACAATTAATGCAGCAATTAGCTTGTGGACAAGAGAAGGCAGAATTGGGTACGAGAGCTTTGCAAGAAGCAAATGAAAGAGTTCTCATGTCTAAACAAAGAGTCGCTGCAATGAAGGCAAGGAAAGCAGCTATGAAGGTAGGACTGGTTGAATCTATTATTTTTCAGTAGTTATAGATAAAAAGCAATCCATTTTTCACCCTCTTTGCTTTTGATCTCACGATTGTGGGTAGGTGTTATTTTTAATTCTGTTCCGAGTGTAAAGTATTGTCTGCCAGTTCTATTTTTGTGTTCAATGAAACTGGTTTGTGACCATGGGCACAGGGTGGTCCTACAAAGGGGTTTTACTGTCCATGGTTGACATAACATAAAGCGTCATTCTAAAGATTCATGTATGGTGGACATAACATATTCAGCCTTCGTCTTTTACTATCTATAAATAATTGTTTTATTCAATTTAAGACTATAGTAATTATTCTTACCTATATGGCCTTTCCCCAGGCGTTTCACCACCCTGCCACTGCTACTACTGGAGAAAGGCATGAAGTCAACTCAACAACTAGTCTGATGTCAGATGGCTTACATCCATCACCAAGTTTCTTCCAGGAAGGTGGAGTTATCTTTCCTCCCACTCCGGGGCGAGCACCGAATGTCACTCCACGTAACACAGAGAGAGGTTCAACTTTCATGTTCCCGCGACCCAAAACAACAGCTGTTGTTGAACTTCCTCCTGTTCCGCGAGGCATAAACGGCCTCCAAACGCAAAGTGTACTGGGTCCCAGGCATCATCCCATATTAACTCTCTCTACATAACATTCTTTTGCTAGTGTGAAATATATTTTTGTATTTAAAGCCATATTTTGATCAAAGTTTATAATGATTTTATTATATTTTATGACTCATTTATTATCCATCCCATTATGAAGTAGCATGTTACAAAAAATTGCATAATAAGTTTTGCTACTAGACTCGATTGAACAATAGAAAGTCCGGAATGTAATATATATGAATGTTTCGCATAGATTTACTGATAAGACATCTATAATTTGAGATGGATCTCTACGGTACCTCAGTCGTAACCTATATACTTGAAATAGGATTTTGTCTTTAGCCCTGGGAGAACAAATCCAATTTGATAGGCTGATATGATTCTTTAACTGGCCACCACTTGATTAGATAATTATATAAGAATAGCTAACAATTCAATGTTCCAAATGTCTTGAGCAGATTTTCTGAGCATTGCTTGGGATCACCGGTATATTTGAATCGTAACAACAGCCTGAAGCAGGATTTCAGTATAATTATACACCCCATTGAGCAAATACTCTTGCAAAGCCAACTCTACTGTATAACAAACAGTTTGCCTTCAATAAATTTCAATCAGGAGCCTAACTTGTTTATATTTACACTTGCCTCATTTTCACACTTTTCATTGCTTAAAAATATATATATGCCAGTGGACAATTCTCACTCTTTTTTTCTTGGCTAATCCTATCAAATCAGCAGAAACTTAAACATTCGAAAGCGATATATTTAGATTAAATTTGTGTGCGGCGTCAATTATGCCTAGAAGCGTAAATAGAATTCTTGTCTGTATAGACAAGTCTGTACATTGCGATGTCCACATAGTGCATAAAACAAGCCATCCTAGCTAAAAAGGATTTACAGTACGAGCTCAAACAGACTCCATTCCACATAAAAATAATGAGAGATGCATTTTATTTTATTGTGTATGTACAAATATTTCAAAAAATATAAGATACAAGCTCTACAATTGCAGTTGGAAATCATTTCCTTTTATGAGTTTCTAAGTTGGAATATTTTCAAGCTTCAATGACAAAAAAAACGTCTTGTGACGATTAAAAATTGCAATAATGGAACCTTACTAAATCCAAACTTGCACAAGTGAACATTTTTGATAAAATTCCATTTTGAAGATACATTTTTGAACTGTTTCATTAACATCTATTGTTTGAAGGCAGTAATTTTAATGAAACTTATGTTATATTATTCATCCCACATTATACGATCGAGATAATCAGAACCAATTAGATCATGCTGACCTACTACAGTAAGATTGGGACAATGCCTGCAATAAAAATAATAAAAAAATCCATAAACAGTGTTTAACTAGTAAAAGTCCAAAAACTAGGAAACAAAAGAGGAATGAAAGATTAAAATCTGGCAATGGATTTCCAAAAACGCTACAAATGTAATGAAACAAAAATAAACAAGAAAACAATAACAAAAAAGCTGGAATAAATTGTAACAATAAAATTGTTTTGAAGACAACTACATAACGACAGGTGTGGATAGTTAGATCACAACAAATATGCGACTACATCACTTTAAAAACAGCAATGAAATTTTGCTTGCCGAGATGGCAATGGTACTGCTAAAATTTCAGTACAACATTCATTTAGGGTAGTCGAAAGGAAATTGAGTGTCAGCGAAAGAGAATTGAAAAGTAATTTTATCACTTCTTAACATTACTCATGTGGTATCAGGAGGAATATTCGACTTCTCGGCCCCCTCAGGTCCCCCCTTTTCAGCTTCAGGCTGTGTTGCGCCAGTTTTTGATCCCCCTAATCCTCCATGAATCCATAAATGACCATTGAGTCCATCACGTTGGGCAAACGTTCGTCCACAGATATGACATTCGTAGCTGAGAAATAGCGAAACTGTTAATTTAACTATCAAACCACCAAAAACAAAATTGTGTCTTGTCTACTTTGGTATTAAATGGCTCCACCAGGAAATTAAATTATGGACATGCACACTCAATATGAATCATTCTGGCCTCTTATTCCTATTAAATATTGTCACATCCATGCAACAAAACTAGGCCAGGCCAACAAACACCAGATTTTTAATATACACATTTATTACATATGCATCACAGGGTGGAAAATGTCACTTTAAAACAAATCATGGCTTTGCAACATATCATCCTACTTTATAATCAATTTTTAGTTTTGGTGATAAACAATTAATATTAATGAGTTCAGGGTGAACTTGAATTCTTGACTTAGAATGCAATAACATAGTCTTAGACAATTTGGATATTTTCGACTAAAGTTATAAAAGACATTTTTATTCCTCCTACCCCATTCCTGAATGAGTTTCCATATGATTTCTCAAGTTTCTCAATCGTCTGAATCCTCTTCCACATACTTTACACCAACATCTAACAAAAGGCATGATTTATTTAAAAAAGTTTGGAGAGCGGATATGTAAAATGAGAAACACCAGAAACGGACGAAGAGTTTCAAAACTTGTTAATCAAATGATTTATATTTTTCCTGTTTTTGAGAAATTTGTTACGTATAGGAGCAAAGTAGAAAAAAATGGTTTATATTTTGTTTGAATGTCTAACACCAATGTTTTTTTGTTCACCTCAACAATTTTAAATGAGCTATGTATCTCATGGACAACAAATGAGCTGGAACTAATAAGTGTGCTTTTTTTAAACATATCTGGAAGGAAAAACATATCTGTGCTTTTGTTCCCTATAAATCACAATGATTAAATGTACTTATATTTAAAAAGTACACTCAATAGGATTAAGTTGAGAAAAAAAAATAAGATACAAAAAAATGCTCACACAACAGGTGAAGGTTCTGCTCTGGGTTGAATTGCTGTTGATCTGTGAAAATATCAATTTAGTCAACATCTGGAACAAAACAGAAATCTATGCGAAAATGATGAAGATAATTTCAGTCACATATTAAGCATTAAAGATCGTGATTAATTTTGTTAAGCATAGAAACAATAACTCACGTTGAACTCTGACTTGCACTTTGAACCATTTCTTCCATTTCTCTGGAACAAAATGTGACATACAATACCAACATATAAGTATAGTTAGTTTATAATAGGAAATGATATAATAAGGTATTTTTGCAATAGTTTGGTTCCAGTGGTGGGATTCAGCCGGTTCGCATTACTGGTTACTGTCAATGACTGACAAAAAAATTGAATCCCACTACTGTTTGGTTCTAAAAGCCAAATCTATAAATGGACATGAACAGGGGCACAGCGGTTTCAAAATCGGAAATTCCTGTGCCCTTCTGGAACATTTGACCCCAACCAAATTCAAATTTTTCGAATATAAGCATAACCAATTTATTTCATTATTAGATGAAAACATGTGGAAGAGTAGAATTGTATTGATAATTTATCTGTTTTGGCTCCTTACAGGTTAACACAATTTTGAATAAAGTCTTTATTATTACCGAAGTCGCAGCAGAAAACATAATACTTTCATTACATTATAACATAGTCAATCACATGAACAGAAAACATACTAAAAGCAAAACTTACGAAAAAGGTGGTTGACCAATACCACTAAATCCAAATAAAGTTTTGCTGTAAGGATGGGTTAGAATAGCATGTTTCTGCAAACTCCCAGCTGTTTGGAATGATTTTCCACATTCTGGGCAGCCAAATGGAAGAGGTCTAAAGCAAGAACAAGTCGATGATATGAGTATTATTCTGATAAAATTCCGGGAGCAGTAGATTAACTAACAGATTCAAAATTTAAAAACAGATAGCATTTGGTAGTATTGAAAAAGAAAGCATGACCTTATGGGGGAAAAAGGAATAAATATTCACAAACAAGAACTCACTTTTTTGGTGGAAATTTTGCCCGAGATCGCGGAATCCGATTCTATAAAGAAGAAAATTTAATAATATAAAACAACAGTTCATTTAAACATAGGACAAACTAGCAATACAATCTCAATGCTTGACATTGAATCTAATTAATAAAATTATCTCAATTTAGACTCGCTATGCAATAGAGATAAGCACCCAAGATTGATTTCTAAATACATTGAAAATTTGTCTCCCAAATTATTGAATTTCTGATTAGAATTAATGTGACTCTAATGACAAGAAGGCAAGCAGGATTGCTATGGGAGTTGCCAGAGAATAGATTCAGAAACATGGGTAGCAGTAATATAACTCTATGTCAATTGCTTATAAAAATACTCCTGCAACTTACTTTTAGAGCTAGTAAAAGAATGAGCTTAATTTCACAGGAATAAGTTCCTTGAGCAGAACAATGAATTATAAGGTGATTAGGCCTAATTGCCTTAGAAATATGATTAGATTAAGGAAAATTCAGATTGTTCGCTGTTCATAAAGTCCTGTATCAAATTAGGTTAAAAAACTTTTGCGGTGCTGTTTTCGAATAATTGTGGGTATATAGAGATGTAACAAAGATGAAACTAGATAGCCATCGGAGACAGCCGACTTATCGATGTGCGGTTTCGATTACTTTGCTCTGGCTCACTAGCGACACCACCTGTCCCCTCACTAATTAATTAATAACTCGCTTATTATACGACATAATTCATCGAAAATCAATAGGCTTCTGATATGATTAATGCACATGCAAAATTTGGAGCAGATTCAACCTCGCTTTCGTGAAATATCGCGTAACATATGAAAGTGAAACACACAAACAGACAAATACCTATCAACATACTTACCGATCGAGATCGATAAGTAACAAACCTGGTTAAGATATATTGAGAACTGACTTCAAAACAAAATTTTGAATTTGAAACAAGACGTTATGAGCACCCTGTATATATAATGCTCGAAATGTCATACAAAAATCAAGCACGAACCTCAGCATGTGTCAAAACATGACACTTTAAATTCCATCTCCGACTGAAACCTTTTCCACACAAGGGACAGGAATATTTTCCATCAATTCCCATCTGTACATTTTCAACTGCACTTTTCAGTTGTTCAATCTCACTGTTTGATTGCAGTTTCTGAGGAAATTTTGTGTCGTGCGACTGAGGAATGGGTTGCTCTGCTGGAACAAAACTTGCTTCAGGGTTGACTGAAAAAATTGTAAATTATTATCTATCTTTTGAGCAAGACAGCAATGCTCAAACTTATGGACACATAGGATGCGTATCGGCTCGGTACTATTGCGAAAGCTGAAAATCGAGTTCGTTGAAAACGTCAGTGGACAAGCAATACAAAAACAGTCAAGCTAATATCGTTCCCTTTTTATTAATAAAATAAAATATATCACATCCCATAGAACTCGGAATTTGAAAGAAAAAGTAAAATATTTTAGAGACTTCTTACACCTTTAGATACTGAAATTCGAAATTGACCTGTCCATTAGTTATAAAGTTTTCTAACAAGAATTCAGCAAAATGATCCGATGTAAACTGTGTAATCAAAAAGAGTTTTTCATAATGTTGTCCATTGTTGTGATATAAATATTTAAAGTTTGCAAATTGTACTATCAAGTTTGAGAATACCAATGACTCGCTGTAATCTTAACATTATAACTACCCATATTCATGTAAAATATGATCAATGCAGGAAATTCATGAAATATAAATATGAAATATGGGCTTACTGCCAAATCTAATGACAAATTCATAAAAAATAAAATGTAGCCTTAACCATTTTGTGACAGTCATTCCATACTGTATTGAGTTAGGATAGATTTATACTGTGTTCATGCTATGGGTTGTTCAAAAATAGATATAATAATTTGTCAGAAGGTTAGAGAATTCATAAGAATGAGATTCATACAATTGAGACAAGTTGGGCACAACATTTTCGAGACACTCAAAAAAATTGTAATTTGGATCAATTGATTTTGTATTTGAATATCAATAAGTTGGAATTCTCATCAACCTATATTTTTTCTAGGGAATCTCAGGAAATTTTGGGAAAATAAATCACCTTGCGGCACTTATTCCATACTTGATTAACTGTTCTGAGTTAGGATAGATATATGATGTGTGGCAAATGGAAAAAGTAAGCATATGTATGAAGTGGAATTCATATAATTAGGACAAGTGTGAGGCAAGTTGGGCAAAACATTTACAAAACACGTGAAAATAAAATATAATTTAAATCAGCTGATTTTGTATTTAAATATCGATAAGTTTGAAAATTGAATTTTTTAGTGAAACCCCATCTCTTCATACATTTGATGAAAATTTCAAACTTACCAATCTCTGTTTCATGAGCAATTGGTCTTTTCACTGGATGAGTTTTCCTACGAGATGATCCAGGAGGAGTTGGAATACTGAATGATGGGGGAAAACCAAATGATGCCTGCTGTAAAAATTATTTTGGAAATTTTTTAGAAAATTACAAATCTATTTTCAATGATTTGTATATTTAGAATTTTTCATGATTCCAAATATCAGCATATCCTGAAATGCCAATATTCATATACTAAAGTTAGAACACTAGGAAGCATTTTTTAAATTTGCAGTTACATATTCTACCTACGTTGAATATGCTCACTATTTTCCTACTAACAGTGTGTTTACTCTGTATTATCAAATCATTATTTTAACCTATTATTATAAAAGTTTAATACTTAACTAGACAACGATTACCTAAACAAAAAACATCTTTGATCACAACATATCTGGAATTGGGTTTGAATCGATAATTAAGTTGGTTAAAGATAAGGCTTCTGCATAACAGAAAAATTCAGGCTTTTAATAGAATGAGACTTTATTAATAAGACTTAGAATAAAGATATTCATTCGTACTTTCAGTAAATTCAATAAAATAAATAACATAATTTTGGCTGGATTTGGTACAAAGCACGGTATCAATATATTCGCCCAGAAAACAATTGCCTTAATAGTGAGACATCAAGACATATTTGACTACAAAACAATCAAACATAATACCACCAAGTTCATCAATGGTGCCTGCATTTAGAAAACAGTGACTAAAATCAAAAACTTCCAAAAGGTATCCACCATCGAGTATTAACCATTGCATACAGGTAAATTCTAACTTTAAAAAGAACGAGACTTGTAGAATAAAGACGGTGTAATTCATACAAACCTTCAATAAGTTCTGTTCTCGATCCCATTCGACAGTGTGAACATTCTGCATGTGCATCACTAAGTTTTTATTCAACTGAAAAACGAAAAAAAAATTGACCATTTAAAATATTCGGCAAAATAAAATGAATAACAGATGTGAAATATTTTATGCTGGTTGTATACAAATAGTTTGAAAGATAAAATTCCTGGTGAAAACACTGAACTTTTGCATGTGGGAATACAGGAACACAAAAATCAAACTAGCTTGTTCGCAGACACAAATTATGAATATTTCCTTGATCTTCCTCAATCTAAAAGTTTATAAACCAATTAATTTAAATATCTTTATGATGAATTCACGAATTTTTAAGACCAAGGATATATCCACTGGTGGGATTCAGCTCTTGAATGACAATCAGTGTTTTTTTTGTTTTTGTTTTAAACAATAAACGTCCACAAAACACATATAGTGAGAATGAGAAACAAGCACCATAGCTGATGACTACTGATACATTTAGCACTTGGAAAGTTATCTATTAGACTTACATAAAGCATGTCATGCTAATTAATGTAGCTTATGTAATGACATACAAAAATTTTCTGAAATTAGGGAACATGTTGTTATTTAGTTTGATACAAAGGAGAATGTTTTTAATTTTATATTAATTTTAAATAATTTTAAATTAATTTTAATCTCACCACTGGATATATCACAAGCAAATTTGAAAATTCTTTAATAATGAGAATCAATTACATTCCATGCATTTTACAATAAAATCATTCCAACATGGTAATTCACCTTGAAATCTCTTCCACATATTTTACAGACATATTTCTTCCCTTCATGCAATTTCATATGATTCAACAACGTCATTTGAAAATTAAACTTCATTCCACAAACCTCACACCTGAAACAAGTAAAACAATATTGTCTCTTCATGAATCGAATTTGATCTGTGTAAAAAGGTTAATCGTTCACTGAGAAAGACTTCAACATAACGAGCAGAAACCTATTTTGCATCAATCTGGAAGTAAATCCAAGCAAGGATTCTAGACTGCAAATTTTTAGTAACTCAATAAATGTACTTTGTATTTGAAATTCATCATAAATTTATGCTAAACTAGAGTCTCGACTAATACCCATTATAACAGGAAAAACACAAAGATATTTGGTCATAAAATCACAGGGTATTGGGGTGAAATTTTATACATTCAGCAATATCTTTTCAAGATACAATGTCATTCTGGAAATACTAAAAATTTGAGATTCATAATTAAAGAGAAAGGTAATTTCCTTCCTAACAAGGTCTAGTAAAATTGTATCCAGTGCTATGAAAAAGTCCTTTTGTTGAAATGATAGAATATATTTAATAGCACAAAGTACACTTATTCTAATTAAATTTTGATCCATTGAATTTAGCTATGAATATATGAACCTGAATGGTTTAACTGCTGAAGCGGCATGTTTCTTCATATGACATTTCAAATGATGCCGAGATGAAAACAATTGTTTACAAACAACGCATTTTATAACTCTTTTCATTCCAAGAGGTCCTGTAATAAAACAATAGTTAATTAATACAAATTTATAGCAATTACGGTACAGATAAAAAAGGGAAAATTTCAATATTGACATTCACAAATTGAAGATAAATTGAAACAAGAGAGCAATACTCAAATATGTGTGCATCAGCAGGCCTTAACTCTCTAGCTGAGCACAGAGTCTGCTGAAAAGATTAGGAGGATAAGTATGAAGGTGGCAGTAAAGACCCCACAGAAAATTTAAAACAAGTAATGCTAAAAGCCTTCTTTATATGACATTTATTATCACTGTTATAATATAAGGTTATAACATTAAACACACCAGCAAACATTGAAGTTCTTAAGCTTTGGATGTTTTGCATATCTCGAGGATCAATGTGAATAAATGGGTTCTGACTTCCATCTTCTGGCATAACATGATCTGCACTTCCCACCGTGGTATCAGGTTTACTTCTGTAATGTTACAAATCAATTAGCATTTCATGTTCCCCTTGCAAATTAATCTAAGATTGAAAGTACTTAATACTAGCTAGAGCATTGGTTCTAAAACTGGAGTCCGCGGTTGCTTAGGATTCTGCGAAGCAATTTTAAAGAGACCGCGAGACAACTTTGACCTTGGTACAGAAGCACTTTGATTTAAAGTAAAATTTTGATGTCATGCTTTTGAAGTGTTTCTCCAAAGCACGACACGCTCTACCGAAGACATTATTACGTAACAAAAGTTGGTGAACGTGGCAAGTACCGTAAATCACAGCATAATTTTTCTAAAAGTTTGAGAACCACTGAGCTAGAGCATTGTTAGGACAAAAGAATTGTGGGCCTATAGTCTATTGAGAGAGCACTTTGAGATAACCAGAGTGGAAGGTTGATAGAAAGCACAATACTTACACAAAAGCTTCTTCACTTGAATGTACTGCGGTCTGGCCTGGTTGTCCAGGCATAGGAAGGGGTAATGTAGAAGAGCCTGAAAGTTTGAAAAATTAAGTTATATCGTGATAAACAATAATTATTATAACAGACTGTGTTCCCCCAAACTTTCGAGAAAAGTCCGTCCAATAAAACTTTTTAGTTGTCGAAATCGGATGGTTATGAGCACTCATTCAGTTACTGTTAGAAAAATCTTTCATGCAAAAAATTTTTTAGCATAAATTTCAGTTATGTAGATGGACAACTGTTTATGTGATATAAACTTATCTGTTTCAAGTCTCTCACCGACTGACATTTACATGAGCTTAATGTTTCAAAAGCCCTTGGCATTTCAGGGCTCGTGCATAACTTGCTCAGAGATGAGTCTTCCTTATTTCTGAGTGAGTGTAAAAGACCATGCTATGAGTAAATAGTGTCAGGAACTTCTCATATAAAAGGGATCATAGTATATTGAAAAGTGCGAAAAAATCTTCCCTGGCATAGCTTACTTAATTTATCATATCCTGGGTGAAGAAGATAGATGGGGGTTAACTAGGGGTGTGCAACATTTTTTGTCGGTGGCCCACTTCAGACAAGTAGCAGGGCCACACGAAAAATTGAACAGGAAAGGCAAGTGAAGAGAATGCAGCTAGCACTTAGTCTCAAAGTAATGAATGCACCAGGCAAACCGTCGAACGAATTAACGCAGCGACAAGAGTAAAAAATCATTGTGTATTTTCATCCATGTGAACACCTTCTCAAACATAAACATGTCGAATTAGGACTTATTACCTTCTTCCACAGATTCTGTTTTTATCCTTTCATCAACAGACATATTTTCTTTCAATGCAACATCAGAATTTTCACTGAAAAATTTAAAATAATCATAGATAGCAAGTGATAAAAAAAGAAAATGATATCTTGACACATCAGCTTTTAAATATAGTACAAACAATAATTCATCGTACATTGAGTTTCACCATAATATAGAATATATGCAAATGCAATGTACATGCAAATAGGGATGGCCAATACCGAATAGTTCACTATTTCGAATACATTCAAAATTATCTTTTTCGAATATGAAATTTCGAATACTTCGAAAATAAAATCCACTAATTGAAGCTTATCTAAATGTATGTAGGAATTTCCATATAATAAGCAATGGAATAACTGCTATCTACAAGTTACAACCTAGCTATATTACCAGGCATTTCATATTTGCAGATTATTGTAGTATATACTTTATATACCACGAGTCATGTTAACAGAATTAAATTAATACGGCAATAGTGGTATCGATGATGGATTTGAATATTTGCGTAACACAAAATCATCCTAGTAAAACGCCCATACTTTTAAATACCAACCATCATCCAAATTATTTGCCAAAAAGTGGGATAAAGTATGAGTTATTTTTCCGACTTGTGATAACTTTTTCGTGAGTACAAAAATACGAATCAAAAACTATTTATAAATGGGTAGTTTACCACACATTCCAAGCCCACAGATCGCTGTTGTATTTTGTAAATACGAAAATAGGAATCAAAAATTAATATTAATCGCGAGTTTGCCACACAATTTATGTCCACAGATTGCCGTGATATCGTGCCGAATATAATTAGTTTTTGATTCTTATTTTCGTACTCACGAAAAATTGTCACAAGACGGAAAAAGAATTTATACTTTATCCCGCTCTTGGGAACTAATTTGGATAATGGTTGCCATTAGTTTGTATTTAAAAGTATGGACTTTTTACTAGGATGATTTTGTGCTGCGCAAAATATTCGAATCCATGACCGATACCACTATTTAAAATGCCTGACCGTGTTAATTTAATTCTATTATCATAACTCAAATGTTGGTGAATCGGGCAGTTTACCACACATTTTAAGGCCACAGATGGCCGTTGCATTTTAGAATTGTGATAGTTTTATTATTTTGTAAATACGAATCCGAAATTAATTACAATTGGGCAGTTTACCACGTATTTCATGTCCACAAATACCCGTGGTATTTGGTATTAATAATTCCATTATTTTATCAATATAAAAATGGGAATCAATATTTAATAATATCGGTCAGTTTACCACACATTTTATGTCCACAGATTGTCGATACAACCATGAGTTACATTGAACAGAATTAAATAAATACGGCATGACATTTTAAATGCTGGTACCAGTCATTGATTGGATTATTTTGCGCAACAAAAAATCATCCTGGTAAAGGATCGATACTTTTAACTATCGTTATCAGAATTATTTGCCAGAAATTATTTTCTAATAAATCGACTTGTTTTTCCAACTTGTGACAATTTATTGGATATCGTAACAATGACGGCTATAAATACCGTATTTCCCGGCTAATAAGTCCACATGGCAAATAGGACGATGTCTATTTTTAGCACTCAAAAAGGGGTTTTTCCATACAGGCCCCCAATGAGACGGGTAGAAAAATTGTGTCCCTGTTGTTCAGTTATGCTGATTTGCGCTAATAATTTTATATGTTTAGAACCAGATCATGTTAGTTCGGTAGAATCATATCACCGAATTAACTATTTTTAACAATTGAGTGGTAAATTTAAGTTGTAAAACGGCAATCATTTTGGACAACCTATTAACCCGAATGTTGAAATAATTTTGGAATGTGATAAGTAATACACTGTACGTCCACAGGTTATTTCACAGCTGAGTTTTCCTGTCCCTGTCGTGTTCTGCTGAATCAGCAAAACGAAAGGGTCACAAATCACTTTATCTCGGTGGCCATGTTTCTCTTTATTTAAGCAACGATAACCGGTCTGCGATTAAATATCATGATTGGCAGACCCTAAGACCCAAATATAAGGTTACACAAATCATGCTTGAGAAGACTCATGCGAATAAAAACAGGCCACATAGAACTACATACTTTCTCAATTAGACGCCCAACTAGAAAAGCGACTTATTGCCCGTAAATACGGTAATTGTCAATTTTTTTGACGTAATGGAAATGAATTTGTAAATTAAAAGCCTCGTAAACGAATGTCGGCAATGTCCACCCACGCAAACGTGCAAATGTGTCGCAACACTATGCGACGTATGGTCGCACAGAATATAAACAATCAAAGTGCCGATTCTATTTCATCGTCATTACAATACGTGAGACAGCGTAAAAAGTCGTTTGAAGATTCCCATAAAACAAAACACCACGTTTTCGGCGAAAAGTGGCTACTATTCGGAATTATTCGAAAAACAGCCGAAAAGGTATTCGAATACTTTGATATTCGAATATTCGATTCGTTTTGGACAACCCTGCATGCAATACTAGGTTAGGGTTAGGCCATAATTTTAGGTATAAATACTACGAGAGGCTCTTGGCTCGTCTTCGAACTGATAATAGGACTAAAATAAGGAAAATTGGAAAAAAATTATCGCCTAACCCAAACCTGTTGCCCATGTTACGTTCCGATGTCCGCCATCTTGGTTCGCATACTTCGGGAGCACCCTAAATTTATTTTCTCGAAGCATATAGCTTTTAGCATAAAACTACTGCAAAAAATTTCGAATTTCAATCAGATACTAGCAGAAAAATCAAAATAAAACTGTTCGTTTTATATTAAATAAAATTACCAATTGAATGAATTAAAATAAATAATAGTCTCTTTAAGCCATATTCACAATAAATTTCAAAGGTATGACTTGAAACTTAAATCTCACTCATGCATTGTCTATTCTGCATTTATCAAGAACTTCCTACATATATACATACCTTGCTTCCTTGTTAACCTTTGCACTCCAGTCAGATGACTCTTTCAATTCTTCTGTCTGTGGTTCTGAAAATTGAAAATAGGTACATTGCATTATGATGAAATATCAGAAATCAGCACAAAATCTTGCGAATGTGGATTGTAAATTGTTTTGCATTCTTGTATTATTTTTGGTATCAACGTTTAACATGGAACGCCACCAAGATCAAAGACAGATTGGAAAGTATCTTATCATGCTTCCCACATATATTTTGTGACACAAATTGCTGATGTAGTAATTTTATGCCCTGGTGTTTTAAACCTCGTTTGAAGTTTTGGTAACTTTCCTTAATTTCCATTCTTTTGTGTTGTTGAAAAAGTTACACCTAATTACTAGATGTGCTACACAAAACTTATGAATGTATTCTTTGAGGGGAGTGTTGCCGCTGGTATATGCATATAAATAATGTTCATGTGAAAAAGACAATATTCCTTCACAAATTACAAAGTCGAAATTGAATACCTGATTTGATCTTGGGTTCAGTATTTGTTGGAAGAATCTCTGAAGGTTGAGTTTGTGGTGCAAACCTATGAGTTGAGGTTGATTCACCAATCACATGTTCGCTTGATGTGGCAACTAATAAAATTAGGGAATGAATTCATAACCAAAATAAGCTATTCACTAGACATGTACTATCGGTAACCAGCATAATGAAAATGTAGTTGAAATGTCTACTATATATCAAATCATTCATTTGCTAAATACCTGAAATAGGACCTTCTTTCTATAGTGTACTTGAAGTTGGATACATTTCTATTGAATTAGGACAGATACATAACTACCCAAGGTAGGAAATTGTTCTTTACAGAGGTTTCAAGATGGATTGGTAATACCGTTGGAGACATATGACAGCTTTTGCTGCTCTTAATTAGGGCTGTGGAGTCGCTAGACAATTTACAACAGACTCAGACTCATTGAAAAAAATTCCAGAAATTCATCAAATTTTACTCTAGGGTGATAAAAATTTCAATTATTGAATCGAGCTCCAAATTCCTAAGGAAATCAACTTTTGATAATAAAAATTTGGACATTTTCATGCATCCCTTGATAGACTGTTAGGAACGTTCTGTTACGTTTTTTTCTAAATGAAGGAGAAAATCATGGAAAAACGTTCATGAAATACCGACTCTGGGGGTTTTCAAAATAAAAAGTCTTCGATCCCAATGAAAACATAATAAGATCAGAACCGACAGCCCTGTCTCAAATTTTATATTTGCCATTGCCAGGATATTAGATATTGTTGTTTCCTATGAACTTGAAAAGCTACAAACCTTCTCCCGGTTCGATGTTTGGACTGTCAACATTTAAACTCTTCTCGACAGATACTTCAGATATAGTTGTTGAAGCTTGAGACTGAAGAATAAAAATATATAATTAATATTAGACTTCTTTGAAAGCAATCAGAAGCCCAACTCTGTAAATATTAGGCCAGTGGTTCTCAAACTTTTAAAGCCGCCTCGCCTCCACTTCTTAGAATTTGTAAAATCTCGCCCACCTTGAATATAACTGGTAACTAACAATAAGCTACAAATAACATATAGTAAGGCGAAAGTATGTTTTATTCAAAAAACAAATTGAAAATAAGGTGATGGACAGTAAATAATGAAATAAATGAAAGGTTTGAAATGTAAATATACAAAATAAGGAAGGCAAGATCAAATATAACAAATATTTTTAATTTCCAATTAGCTTCACGCCCCCTCAAAAAATTGTCTAAACCCTTCTTTATAGGGCCCGTCCCATCGTTCGAGAACCACTGTATTAGACTATGATGTCCTTGGTTGGTTTTAGATTCACTCCAAGTTGATGATTTGGTATTCAGTGTGCTCACCAACAAACCGGCAGCTTGTAACAAATAATGTAAGCTTAGCTGAAGGCTTTATTCAAGAAATAAAGTGAACAGCGAACACAAAAGTAAAGTTTGTTTAGTGACAAACTGACAAACACAATTAGACCAGGTGGCGGTACTTGCAGAATTGGTAATCAATAAGCTTGAAGCAAAGTGTGTTCGGGCCCTGTTGAAGGGAGTCTAAAAGATAAGGGAAAGTCATCGTAATTAAACACTGGGGATGAATCAAGAAAGAAGCTTCATCACGCATTATACCAAGGGTGCCGACGAGATCAGAACCATTACAACCAGCCCTCGGACGATCCTCGATAACAGCATTACATCCTCGTCAGTTCCACACTAAATGGTGTGGATCATATGTAATACATAATTTGAATATGAATGTTGATGCTTGATGGTGAAATGACACTATAGAGCAAATTTAAAATCCAGACGTAATTAGCAAATTACAAGAAATATACTCACTGTGGTCGTTTCCATAGGTGTTCTTGACATATCTTGAGGTTGGTTCAGAACAAATTTCATCAAGTCAGTTCGTTCCCGAGCACAATATTCAATAACCTGGATGATGAAAAAATAAGTGATAACTTTTCAACATGATAGTATCAACATAAAGCAAATATGGTATTCCAATGAGTCACAATTCTAAATTAAATGAACTGGTATGCCAAATGGTAATGCATCATTAGCGAGAGCCCAAAATCACCAGGGAGGGTACATATTTATAGTGTGATTCTTCAGTTGTCTGGAACAAACAACCTTTTTGACTAACATAATTTCTACAGAAATTAAGGTCGAGTTTCTGGCATTTCATTCTGCAATTGTAGCTTTGTTGTTCATACCAATATAACGAGAAAATTTCTAGGGCGCATGTTCACTAAACGACGTAAGTACTCCTAATTGGAGTAGCTAACCCCCACCTGTCCCAATGCCAGCGATCTCTCTCATATCAGGATCGTTACAACGTAAAAAAATAGCTTGCTCGATTTCGGGTGATCGCATACGCGTCTTGGATGACAGTTGGTATGGTTCGGAAGACCCTGTTACGTTAGTGTGACATCATAGTCACGTAATTTTTGAGTGACTCAGTCGCGCGGGGGTCGGGAATGACACATGCAAAAATGGTTGTGCTACGCTAATTAGAAGTACTTACGTTGTGTTGTAAATATGGCCTATTTTTTTAGAGTGATTAGGGGAAGTTGAAGTATCAATTTTACATCAGACCATGATTCTACATCAAACCTGTGGACTTGTAATAAAGCTGATTTAAACAAGGTTATCAGAACTTACGCTTTCTGCATTGAGTGCATCAGCAGCACTGACAATTTCATGAAATTTAGTTGAATCGACTGTTGCCACTTTTGCCATTTTCCCTGAATATAGAATCTCAAGAAGATGCTCAAATCCATAGTTTGTGACACCAACAAGTTGAATAGTATCAAGTCCCTGAAAAACAAAGTTGTCAACAATCAAGGATCAAAAACTAAAACTAATGACTTGAATTTATCAATCTCACTTTGCGTCTATTCTCGAACACAATAAACTGTTGGTATGCTAACTCGTTGTTGACGAAAATATATTAACCATGGACTAATATCTTAGAAATTTTTAGTGGTTAGTTTGCTATAAGACTTTTGTTTGAGCCTTCCGGGCCCTGTTGTTCTCCGAAAATTTCTGATTTCTGTACGACCATACATTCGATCAGCAAAAGTTTAACGAACAGTATATTTTTATTGTGTGCACTTTTTAGTATGTTAGGGCATTTCTCTACTGTTAGCCTTGGTGGTTACTACAATGCAAGTATATACACCGTATAGGATTATCCACATTATCCAGACAGCAAGCGGATATTGTTTTGAGAGTGGCATTTCATTTATATTAAGTCCATACAAAGTACTGAAGTATGATTATATAACATTCAAATTGCAATTCTGCATTAGAACAAACAAAAATATGAACAGGAATTATTAAACAAGACACAGCCTTACATTTATTTGAGCATCCAGTTGTGCAGATGCTGAAGCCAAGACACATCTGTGAACAAAATACTGTTGATCTTCAACCAGTACCTTTAGGTCACAATATCTTCCTTCTTTCTGCTGTTGATACAAAGTGTGGACAACTCTAGCTGAGTGCAGAACATCCAACTATGGGAAATAAAAAATTTTTTTTTTTGATAATTTAAAGATAATATACCCTTGTGTATTTATAATATATTTATTACATATTATTTATCAGATTGTATGGGAATATGGTAAATTTGTAAACAGACTGAGGACTAAGTGTTCTCAGTGATGTAGTAGTACGTTACAGAAGTCTGGGAGTGGGAAATATTTTATGATGTTTAATTCTTTTCAAGACATGGACGTGCTGGCTAACCAGCAAACGTTTCCTTGCTCAGGTTGATGTCAAATCTTTCACTATATCAGGGTGTTGTCAAATACTGTTCTCGTTGATTGTGATTAATTAATGAGTAGTTAACCGCAGGAAATACCTGCAGATATCATTAACGTTAGCGACTTCAAATATGGCCGACGCGAAGGCAAATAATAAACAAACACGCGCGTGTGTGTAGCAATGCGCATCGATGAACACAAGCTACGCCATTTCGCTAGGCTTGCTGAAAAATGCTTCGCGGGTTGCCTTACCTTGCGACGGAAAACATCCTCCAAAAACTTGCGAACCATGGCGGTTTCTGTTAAACCTAAAATATTCGGCACCAAGTATATAATCTGAAGACGAATTTTCTGACAATTCCACGGTCAACTAAGTGAAAATCAGCAACAAATACAGAATATCGCCTTGCTGTTCAGCAAAACTAAACCTCGACCTGCTTGCTGGCTAGACTGAGAAAGCTCTCTCGTTCGCTCAGCCAATCGTGCTGCTGCGCAGCAGGCTTACGTGACAGGCTCAACCAACAACCTTTTTCTGTTGTCTGTCAATTCGTTTACCGTCGTTTCTCTTTTTTAAGAGGAAAACAAAAAACATATGGTTAGTGGTTTCAGTGCGCATAAAATTTATCAATTTGACGGAATTAAGGCCAAACCTGACACTTAAATCCGTCCCCATTTTCAGCATCAGTCTTAAAACCTCAGCAACCTTCACAATGAATGAAAGTCACTTCTCAAGTGTATTTATTCCAGTGAATGAAAGTGTAAACATAAATAATATGATTCGGAACTCTGTCACATCAATGATAGTACAAATCCAAAAAATTTTTTGCCATGGATCATGTGTTAAATAGAGCACCAATACCTTGGAAGACAAACAAAATATAAGACAAATGGCTGCAACAGAGTCAATCCTATTAAAACTACAAAACAGTTTATATACCATTAAAAATCATAATATGACTTTCTGACAATTTTGATACTTTTACCCAATTTTTTGTATACTTGGGGAGCTAGATGTAATCCAGCTATAATATGTCCATTCAATTTTACATATAGTTCATGAACAATCCATTAGTGAAAGCCTGAAAGTAAGTTATTGGTTAGGGAGGAGTCTTCAGATGCAAATCTTACTGCATTTCAATCAGATTTAACAAAATTATAAAATCAGAACAATAAGAACAAATTTAGATACCTGATTCTATCAAATCACAGAGGGTACATAAGAGAGTACATACAAAAACAGATGACAAAGAACAAAATATACACAAAATAAGGAAAATTTTTTATTTTCGGTTGCAAGCGGAAATTTCTGTCAAAATAATATAAACACAACATTTACACAGGCACAATATTATATTAACAAAAATTGCACAGTTTAATCTATGAACAACACATCTTCTGATCTGCATCTTGAAAAATATAAGAATTTTAGTTTCGATATAAACATTCAAACCAGTCGGAACTTAACAATAATTTGAATACCAATATAAACTGACATAACTGACGACTGAAAATGTCACTTTAGTCTCACCAAAAAAAACTGTTGACATTGAATAAATAAATAATCACTGATACATAATGCAAATTGCAGGTCATGGACTTATGATCATACAGTATGAAAAGACAATCAATAAACAAGGCTCTGGCAAGTCATTCCATTGACCACTCAGCATGTTAAATAACTGCTTAACCACAGTCACAATTGAAAAGGGGTTACAAGCAAGCAGCAAAAATGATTCCAAAATTAGGAATGTGCCAAGGTTATAATCACACAGATATTTAACTTTACAATACATAGTAATTTTGTTTGAATTGCACAAATTCATACCATGCTTAACCAAATCTATGATCTAAATTTTATAAAGAAAATGAATGCGAATGATAACATCAACTCTGATAACAATATCTCATCTGGGGACGTGTCAAAATTTGATCCTATGATACCAATTCCACAATTTTCCAGATTCGATTTTATTTCTTGACATTTATGAATGATCGAATTCTAATCATCCCAAGCAATAGTATCATTCTCCCAACCATCTGTTGCCTCGTCATCTGCAAGATCATCATTAGCAGTAAAAGAAACACTAATTGGACTACTCTTCGTACTCAAGCTTTCAGTTGTTACACTTCCACTTCTTATCATTAGGTTTTGTGAAAGCGGCGGTGTAGGTAGCACTGGAACTTTTCTGGTAGGAATATCAGGAGTCATGTCTGCAAAAAAGTCTGGTTCACTGTTTGTTGCGATTGATGCCACTTTAACTGCGATTTCAAATTCATTTCCCAAATTTTCAGTGTTTTGTTGCATAGTAGATTCAGGTTTTTCTGTTTCACCTTTTGTATTAGTCGAAGCAAAATTATGATCATTTAACAATTGGGAATCTTCAGCAGGTTTGATACTTTTTGCTTCAATAGATGGATGTTCAATATCATCATTATCAAAAGTGTCAAAGTTATCCCAAGTCTCCTCTTCACTTCCACTTCCTGCCCAAGTTTCGACCTCTGGCTGCCGAATTTCTTTTTTCCGGATGTCATAATGATCTGTATTTGCTTTATTCGTTTCAGGTAGTGGTTGTTTGGCTTCCGCTACAGTAATCACACTTTCTGGTACTATAGCTTTGGTAACAGCATATCCATTTACTCCATTCGATAGACTTTGTGTCAAATCAATATGGTTTCCTTCACAAGAGACTTCAAGAACTACCTCTTCCTCCTTCAAGGATGGAGTAATACCGTTGGTTTTTGGTGCGGTTGAAACAAAGGTCATTGCAAGCTCATGTTGCTTCAACATCATTAGATCTCGTTGTTTTTGTGTTTGCCTTTTTGAAGGACTTTGTTGTCGTCGCATTGCCATCTCCAGAAGAGTCAATGGTCGAACGGGTGATTTTTTCTTCGGTGGTTTTGGTTTACGCTTTGGCTTAATCTCATATGCTAAGGATGATGCATCAATCAACACAGACCCATTAAACTTGGGCATTCCAAAACCAAAAATCTTTTCACGTTCTGCACCAACAATTAAATCCCCACCGACAATTGGAACTGCATCAGCCAGAGCATGTAAACTTTCTTTTACAAGTTGATTATTTGCATCATGTAGTCCAAGTAATATTTCAGGAAGAACAGCGTCTTGGAGAACGGTTTTATCAAACATATGGACATAACGATGAAAATTTCTCACTAGAGCTAATCGAACATGCAGAATTTTTATGTCCATCAAATCGACTATTTGTGGAATAACGTGCCTAGCAAACATACTGCTTGAGATTAAGCCATTAGATGAAACTTGAGTTCTGAGTGGTATGGGAGATAATAATCTTGGAAGGATGTTTTCGACTGCATCAGTTTCTGATAAGACAACAGGTGAAAGAATTAGTTTTGCAATTCTCTTGGCAATCAATTCATCTGAAATACAAGCCTTTTTTAACCTTGCAATTAGTCCGGAAAAAAATTTCTTTTTATCTGCTTTATTTTTTAGTGTAATACTTTGCAAGAAATTTACGATTTGGATATATTCAGATGTGAGAATGGCAGTATCTAGAAGCTCTGAAATTTTAGGACGATTTGTGTATTCCTTTTGAAGTATTTCTTCAAGTAAATCCTGCAATTCCTGTGTTTTTACTTCCGACGCAAATCGGGCTTCTTTATTGAATATTCCGAGAAGTATTCCAAGTGCATATACATCCCTACAGTGACCATATTTCTTTTCAATTGGAAATCCAACATGACTATCTGATTCCTCTGGTGGCATGATTTCTTTTGGCCTTTTTATAGTTTTTAAATGATCTGCCGTGGCCTCCTCAAAAGGACAAGCATATTCAAAATTAGAAAGTTTCCAAGCTCCACCTTCAGCGACATAAATACTCTCAATGCTAACTGCATTATGCGACAATCCTGCCTTTTCATGAAGAAAATTTAACGCTTGGGCAATGTCATATATCCCACTTGACACTTCGTTTGCATCAGCAGTTTCGAATTGCAAATATAATGGTGAGACTCGTTCTGTAACAAGATGAGCTTCTGTTTCAGTACAAACAAATCCAATATGTCTCAAAATATTCGGATGACGTAACAGCTTCAATCGCTTTGAACATTTCTCCAAATCTGTTACATCCTTTGGTCTAGTTTTCACTTGTGTGAAGATGGTAACTTGTAATCCATTATTAAGTGTAGCTGGTCGTACACAAATATTCTTGTTTGTATATCGTTTAATAGAGTATGGCTCCCCAAATTCACAATCAGCAAGTAATTCTTCATCTTGTGAACCGTAATACCAATCCCAAGCTGCACTTATCATTTTAAGTATCTGACTCCTATTTCTGTTATGCAATAAGTCATCTGTAGAAACAAGCAAGAAAAATAACAAACCCAAATTCAGTGGATAGATCTGTGGAGATACAGACGAATAAGGCTAATCAATCAATTGGATATTATCAATAAACTGATCATAAAAAATCTGTGAAATGTTTGCTAATAAAAAAAAAAATTGATTTAATCATAATAGTATTAGATCAGTACAGATAGTATTAGATAACCTTTTCATATGAATAACATACACAGATGATAATCTGTTGTCAGTTTGCAATGATGAAAAACCAACTCTAGCAAATGACAAATAAACACAATAGATGTTTAGTTACGATATATCTGTTCTTGTTAACTGTTAAAATAATGAATTGAATACCCACTTTTGACATATGAAAATTCTTGAAAAAGACAAATATACACCATAATAGGTGTTTATTTATGATTTTTCTGTTTATTACCTGCTAAAATATATGATCAGAATTTTCATGCTTCCTTGATGTAGACATGACAAGAGCAAACTGGTACAGGTAGTATTAGATAGCCTTCTCATATATAGATAACATACACAGGTAATGCAATGATAAAAACCAATTCTAGCGAATGGCTAAACATGACGAATAAACACGACAGTAGATGTTTAGTTATGATATATCTGTTTTTGTTTTTTCTGTTAAAATGAATGATTTAAATCTCTTGTTTGACATGCAAAAATTCTTCAACAAGAAAAAATACCAATACCAAATACCAGTACATATAGTATTGGACAGGCATTTCATATAGATAACACACATGATATCCTGTGATATTACATTGTCAGTTTGCAAATTGCAATGATGAACAACCAACTTCAGCAAATGACCAATTATAACACAGATACACCGTAGTCTTGATATATATGTTTTTGTTTTACTGCTGAAATATATGATTTCAATAATTGTGTTTGACATACAAAAATCTTATCTTATACAATAGCCTGGTACTGCTCGATTCCGCTGAAGAATGAAGATATTCAAATCACCAGACTCTCTTCCAGTGCTACCATTGTGGTTGGTAGAATACCATGCGCGATACCATTATTGGCAAAATAAAGCCAAGTAAAAATAATTTTTCTGATCAGTCTAATATAAGATCAGGTGGAGGAATCCATAATCTAGGAAAGGTTTTAATTTCTTCTTCTGAATATTCTTGAATAGATTTAGGGATTCTTCGAGGTGCTTGAATTTCCCCAACAATGTTTTGCAAAATATCGTCTGGTACATTTTCATCTTCAAAAAAATGAGCTCTTGTGAACATTCCGCGTCTATGTTTCATACTAGTTTTTGGTAACGCACTGTAGACTGCTTTTCTCACAATCCATGTTGGATCTAATCCATGAATAACATAAGCTTGCATTTGCAGAAATCCCTTCTTTCTTCCAGTGTGACTTGAAAATACCTTTATTACAAAAACAATTGGGATTTGGTAAATTGAATAAAACATTATTAGAAAGATTTCCAAACAATTTTATGTAATATGGATTGAAATTTGGAGGTTGAAATTGTCCTTTTCCATTACGAATATTGGTAGTACCCCACAATCAACAGAAATTATTGAAGTGTGAGAAGTCAAAAAATATAAATTGTCCCACCAGTGGAGTGGAAGTGGTGACTCCTCTTCGGCCCATGGGCCGGGGCCACGGCCCATCAAATTGGGCCTCGGCCCATCAGGCTATGGGCCGCGGCCCATCAAGTTGTGTAAAGAAACTATTCACTTGGCTAACACAGACAGTCCCCAAACTCATAATAGAACTATAATGTAAAAAATCTGAACAAAATTTTGCCCTAACCCTAACCTGGTACACATACTACAGGAATTTATTTTTTGGTTCGAATATTGACAATTTTGTAAAAATTGAAAATTTTGGTAAGATATTGAATTTTTCCTGACGGGGCCGCGGCCCATAGCTTGATGGGCCACGGCCCATGTGGCCCAATTAGATGGGCCGTGGCCCCGGCCCATGGGTCGTAGAGGAGTCACCACCCCTGTAGCACCAGTGAAGTCCAGATGTGATGATGCATATTCAAACCACATCTGGTAACTTATCTAAATTTTTGTTGTCATGTTTTTAGGCCATCTTCGCATCTTGACAACTTTTCTAAATTTCTGATTGTATGTTTTTAGCTGATACTCCCGAAGTATGTGGACCAAGATGGCGGACACTGGAAGGTAGTATGTGTACCAGGTTAGGGTTAGGCAATAATTTTCTTCCGATTTTCTTTATTTCAGTTCTATTACAAGTTCGGGGACTAGCCGAGTGATTTCCATAGCATTTGTACCTGAAATTATGGCCTAACCTTACCCTGTTACGTATACTACATTTGGTGTCGCCATCTTGCTGTCTTGGTTCGCATACTTCGGGAGTACCTTTTAGTTTACCATATTGCTGTGCAACCAAACCCTTTTTATTTTATCTTAGACACAGCATTGCTTGGCCTCATTCAATTGACTTTCAGGTTAGAATCAAGATATCGTAAATAATATTCAAATTATGCCAAACTCATCAACAAACCTTTTGTTCCCACTTATTCCCAGCATAAGCAATTTCTTTCGTATTGACAATTACAACATGATCTCCACAGTCACTCATCGGATGATAGATAGGTTTATGTCGGCCTTCAAGATATCGTGCTGTTATGCTTGCTATTTTACCAGGTGGTTGTTTGTATGCATTAATAATATACCACATGCGTGAGAATGTTGACCATTGCTGGTTTGCTCTTCCGTAAGACATTTTAGTTTATCAAACTGCTATTCTAATGAAGAAATAATATGAACATGTTATCAGGTAAAGAAACGAAAAAACATTTTATTGTTTGTTTCAGCATACCACTGTACAATGCCTAAAATAAGCACCTTGGCCAGTTGGCCTTTATCAGTACAGTCAGTAAGCAAATCGTTCCTTCACGTGTCAAGTAGAGCCAGAGAGTTGTAAATAGAGGCTAGAGGCAATTTCTGAATTTATGGTATTCTTTTATTCGGAACACCACCATGCTGCCATGGTACAAAAACATAAAAAATTTAGTTTAATATTGTCATCTTACCGTCTTATATTATATAAGACTGTAAGGTACCATATAGGTACCGTAAGTTATCATATGCATTCTGCTGTTCTGTACGTCTTAAACCCCCCATCTAAGGTTTTGTTTGCTCTCCTGATTTCATAATCAGTTTTTAGTTAGCCTATTTGTTTTTATCAATCATTTTATTGTTATGCTGATTATAGAGTCGAAATAAACTTAAATTTATCATTATTACTGTATTAGAAATTCGCCCCAGGGCAGCAGAAAAGTTTGGCACGCCCTGTTTAGAAACTGCTCATATAGCAGTAAAAAATATCCCAAACACAATCTACGAAAGCTTTCTTCTTATTACAATATTATCTAAATGGTAGATGCGACAAACGCTTATTGCACATTTTAAGGCAGTAAGGAGCAAATGGAATAATGGATAGTGCGCAGTACGCCACCATGCGGATCCCTCTTTTGGAAGACCGACCCGAATCGACAATTTGAATATTTGCTAGCTAGACAACAAACCTTGACGAATGACAGCGAAAGACTTGTGATACCGTGTTTCCCCAAAAATAAGACAGTGTCTTATTTCAATTTTCTTCTTAAAAATAACACCAGGGCTTATTTTCGGGGGATGTCTTATATTTGGACACGTGAGTGGAGTGTGTTCGATTACTTGACAAATTGCTTTGAAATTTTCAGTGGTTAAAGATTGATTTTTTTTGCCAGAAGGCTATTACTTTTATTTATTTCGAAATTTTCTATAAATCTTATGAGATCTAATATTTCATCCCAAATTGTGCTGTATTACTTTTAATGACCTTCCTCCGATCTTTGACCCCCGAAAAATCATTCTTATACTTTACCATTTCAAAATTTTCGGGGCTTATTTTAAGAGTGGTTTCGCGAGTTGGGTCCTGTAAAATGGGTTATTTGTTTCAAACGATCATTATGATTCATCGCATGCAACAATCTGTTTTTTAGAAGTACCGGTAAAGAATTTTAGCTTAGTCTATATCCAGCTATATCCACGCTAATTTTTCATCACTGCAAGTAAATTAAAACTCCTAGGAAGACAGAGTGATCATTAAATTATCTGATTTATATTTAAATTTCCGAAACACAACTGAAAACTAACGGATAGAGTTCAAAAACGCGAAAACGAGGTAATGTTTACGACCACGCCTGAAAATCTGTCTGAGTGAGAAAAGTGTATGAGCGAATGCGAAATAGGAACATTGTTACGTCACTTTTTGCATCTTGCTGATTGGACAATGTCACAAAGTAAACAAAAAAGTCGATGCTCGGGAAAGGTCCACTATGGGAACACGGTTTTTAATCCGTCAAGCGTGACGACAGACTCTGAAAATTCTTGCGACTGGAAACTCGGAAGTTTTTTGAGGGTACGGTACCGGTAACGTCAAAGGTAAGGACTGCTTCGCTCTGGTCCACGTGTCCTTATATTTGAACGTTGCTCTCTTGTTTAATTCATTAAAAACAAAATTACAAAGTAAAGAATTACGAAATTTTCAAATCTGCAACATATAAATAACGATAGCCATTTACTTATGAACAATAGAGCTATGCTCAAATATATGGGCATGTTTGAAATAAATGGAAGAAATAGCCTTCTGAAAATTTTTTTTATCTCCAACCACAGAACATTTTGGAGAAACTGGTCCAGTAATCGAAATGAAAAGCGATTTTTCAAAAACGTGTCAAAGAACAACATGAAGAAGAAGAGTGTCAGCATAAAATGCAAAACGATCGTTATGTCCACAGACGTGTCCAATAATGCGTTTTCATCCAAAATATCTGCAAAACATAGATTATTAAGCATTTAAAACGTATAGGAGAGATTTCTTGCTATCGACCAGGTCTAAAAAACTCGCGTAATTGACTAGGTCAGTGGTCGGCAACCACCGGGCCGCGGCCCATCGCCGGTCCGCGGAAAGGTTACTACCGGTCCGCAGAGAGGTGACACAGAAACGGACAAGGCCCTAATGAAGCCCCTACAATCTAACCACATACTCCACAAACATAACGCATTTCAGCAGCATGTCTGACTTCACAAACAATTCCCATGTCATTACGTCGCATTGACGCTGGGTCAATTGTTTCCTCAACGACCGTATAAGAAAGTCTCACATCAGTCGGAATAAGATCTCTCGAACAAAACGATTCTCGCTAGGAACGTGACTAGTGACTACTCCACTACTTGCTCATAGCTAACCGATCATGACGTGTCAGTGCTAATTCTATACTTCAGGAATCAGGATAATCATATGTTAACACATCGCGTAAAAAATGAGTTATGGCAAAACAAACAATAATAAAATCAAATGTTCAATCAAACATCAATCAATACCCAGACTAGAGACAAAAGGTTTACAGGCATTGTTACTTATCCCAACATCTTAATAATGTGAGGCCTGGTTTTCAATATTGATAACTACAAAAAACGAAATATCGAAGTAGGCTGTATGAAACACGTTACATGTGTCGGTGTCGACCATATCTCCAATATTGAAACAGTTAATGGTCAGCAAATAAATACAGATCTCGCATTAAATAGCATCACTTTCGTTTTTTCAGTATATTGTCTACATAAGTTTCCTAACGCGTATAATTTATTGCATAAGCTTAGTTCGTTTGTATAAAAGGTGGTCGGCCAAAATTTTCGTCAAGCTTTACCGGTCCGTCACTTAAAAAAGGTTGCCGACCACTGGACTAGGTCTTATTTTAAGGGGAGGGCTTATATTAAAATAATTCTTAAAATTCATGCTAGGTCTTATTTTCAGGGAAATACGGTAGATAAGATGAGTTTATTTCTACTCCATAATACTCATGAACGGCAATAAAACGGTTGAAAGAAACAAATAAATAAAAACTAATTATGAATGAAATCAGGAGAATAAACAAAAGCAATTTCTGTTAGGGACACAATTGTCACACCATGCAAAAACACTCAACTTTGATCATATCACACTATCTACACTTTGTTCAACAAGTGGAGTGTTGTATTTATTAACAGAATATTTTCGAGTTTTATTTGGGTATTCCAATATGATTGGGATTTCGAAATTTTAACCATTTTCCTAATCCCGATGTCGGGAATGATGTTTAAATCACAGAATTTTAATGTTGTATAACGTTAAGATGGTGTCAATATGTGCACGACGTCCTGTGATCGGTATCAGGAGAATGAATTGGCATGTGCAGACAGGACCCGAACGATGAGATGAGTCTCACTTTTCATCTCAACTTCGCACCTTGAGCTCGCGTCAAGCAACTCCTTATTAAAACAAACGTTTTGTGCTTTGTGCCTTTATATTAGTGAAACACACCTCTAGTTTCAAGCGTGGGCCATGTGACAGCAGTGACAAACCGAAGAATCGACTTAGCGCATCGCAATTCAGTTTTTTTCAGCTGGGTTTCGAAATCCCAACTTAGACGTAGTTGGTTGTTCTTTAATTGTCAGAAAATAAATCATGCATCAAACATGTCTAGATTGTTTGCGTTGTCTGAAAATAAAACGAAAATTCAATAAATCAGATACATTCCAAACTACTCAGCTCTTTTATAATTATTATTTTAAGACATGAAAAAGCATAAATATTTTAGATATTTTCTTAGCCCCAAAACACCTAATTAGAGATCATAAAATAGTTGCGGTAACAAAAACTCAAATCTTATTTCAGTTTATGCTTTGCTTTGCTAATTCTCAATTTAAACTCGCTATACTGGTTCCACAATCAAACCATCATAGGAGCATTTACCTTGGAGAGCTTGCTGTTTATCCGGACTGTCTGTTACCTGTGGGCCTGACGCCTGCCACTAGAAAATATTCATTTACGTTTGAAAAATCAAACTGCTGGGAAATTGACCTTAGTTCATAGCATTATGCCTCATGGTTCATTAGGCAGTCAGAATGTTTCAGGCAATTTTTTTTTATTTCGATGCCTTTATGGAAATTTCTTTGGGACTATGATACAGTTGTATTGAAATATTTTAAAAATAAATGTTAAAGAAATATTTAGCATTTTGCCAGAATATTCCGTTCAAAGATTTGGCTTCGATTCGTTTCTACGACATAATAATATCCCAGATAGCACAACTACGTCGGAACAACCATGGCCGAACGTTGTTCGAACCACCGGCCCAATAATGGCGAACAACCATGTTCCAGCGAAGATTTGGCCGCTGGGCCAACGTCGGTCCTTTCGCTGTAATGCAACCGTGGCAAATGGTCGGGCCAACGTAGGCGATACGTTGTAACACAATCGTGAAATATGGCCGGTCCAACGTTGGCGATACGTTGTAACACAATCGTGACATATGGACGGGCCTACGTAGGTGACGCGTTGTAATACAATCGTGGCACATGGTCGGGCCAAGTTAGGCGATGTGTTGTACAGACAGGGTATGTATCTATACTACATAGAAATTTCCCACTAATCTAACATTATTTATATAATAAAAAACAAAAAATAACAAAATGTATTTATTTTACAAATATGTATACATGTAATAAAATTAATCGGAGTTCGTTGCCAGATCATCCAGAGCTGAAAAATATTAAAATTCTGTGTTAAATTGCAGTATTAGCAAATTACAGCACCAGAGTTCAAAGCCTAGTCTGAATGACTGCATCCCAACAAATTTTCAGAGTAGGAATCTTAAGCCAAGTTTCTGCAGTCGCAAATGTGTGAGTGAAGCTTACATTGACAAGACAATAATAATTGAGAAATACAGAAATTCTTGATTCCGCAAGGGGGGCGTAGACAATGTTTTGAGGGGAATATTTGTTGGAGGGAATAATGATGATTTGAGATTTTATCTGACTAAAATGTCTTCAAATATTCCTTGTTGAAATTCATCTATATTATTAGAAACATCATGCACCATGATTAGTCTATTTGTTTAATTGATTCAAAATAAATTAATTTGTAAATTCATAATTTGCTGTTGTGCTAGGGGGGGATGATAATGTAAAAAGTACTGTACGGGAGCGATGATACAAATAAGTTCGAAAACCACTGTTCGCCATTATGCACCAACTCTGGCAACATTGGATTGGCAATTTGGCACTTGACTCTAACCATAATCAGCTTGGCGATATCTCCTTAAAAATATTTTTCTATACTGTTCACTTTTGTATACAAAATCTACATTCAATTTCTTTACTGTTCACAGTTGTTTACAAAATCATTATTCAATTTGACAATCATAATGATAAAAATGAATGGTGTGGCAACTAGCAAGTACATTTTGTTTACTACCAAACTTATCTAAATTTTCTCGCCTGTTTTTATTTTATTATATCTCTGTTGTTGTTGTGTGTGAGTAACTTAATTTAATTCATGAACACGATAGGCATCTTTTTGGCAAAACCTTATATTCTTTACGCTTCAATCTTAATTAAGGTTTTGTTTTCACTCCAGATTGTCAGATTCTATTTAATCAATTTTTGTTCATTTCCCTTATGAATTATCTTAAGCTGATTTGGAGTCAAAATAATCTTATACTTATAAAATAGAAGAGGGTAGAGCAGAGAAAGATGGTGGTACAATATGATAAACATATTACATACGTACCTTTGCTAGCAGAAACTAAGGGCGTCCCACTCACTCCTTATCCACCGCGTCCTGCACAGTTGAAAGAGCGGGAGAGTAAATTTGTTATAACTGAGCTCATGATTCTTCAATTCAGTCTTTCTCGGAGCAACCTCCAAGACTTGACAAATATCTTATCTGGAATGAGTAAATAAGCACAATTATAAGAATACATCTAATGAAAAGGTTTTCATCCGTTGCAAAAGCTCTATGTTAAATTATCGCGAGTATCTACTCTAAAATATACACATATGTGTTTTGTCCACATCCCATTCGTATAAAAGTGAACAATTTTAATATTGCAATCAGATCGTATTTAGACATTTAAATAATCTTCCTTGAACACGAAGCGAAAATATTGGGCATATTGTATTTCATACATAAATTCGAAGCGCTTCATGCAGTCAAAAACAAAACGACAAAAAATAAAAGGCACTCAATAAGATGAGACCCAGCAAGGGTATTTTCACCTATTTTACTTTCATGTTCTGTTTGGCTTTCCAATTAATTATGGAGTAATCTGCAATATTTTAACATTGTACTAAAACTAAACAAATATTCTGAATCTCAGAGATTTATACATCGTGGTCTTCATACGATGGCATGTGTTACCGGTCAGCGAACTCTTAAATTAATTTTGCTTGCCCGCTGGCCGCTGGGGTAAAAAGGTTGGGAACCACTGAACTTAAGTACAAGTACAACCACGTTGCACTAATGCCCCGCAAACTTACAGTTGATTTTCATCAGAATGATTGAATAGAATAAATTGATTTTTAATGTTTTCTCGTTGTGGGGTCACAAGTATCTGTAGTCTGTGATTTTACAAAAATTGGGGTCGTGGAAAAAAAAGTTTGGGTACCACTGCCGTAAAGTGTATGTAATCAGCCTATAAAAGTATTCAACTTACGAGCGATTTTTTCATCCTTGAATGTTTTCTGGATCAAAATGTAATCAGACAATGAATTGACAATGAATTTCATCAATTCCTTTATGTCCGAGTTCACACTATAATCAGTGGAAAGTTGCAGATGCCGTAGCTTGTAGCATAAGAGTTTCTACCGCCTGTCCCAACAATTTTTCCATGGACTGGATTGGAGCATGGCTTGATCTCTGAAAATCAAGTTAGTGTTACACAATATATAGTACATGATTGTCTTTCAGATGATAAACGTGAACGAATGGCCTATACTAATTACCAGAATATAAATTTTTCATTAATATTAGTTACCGTATTTTCCAGCGAATAAGACGAGGCCTGTTTTTAAGCCTGAAAAAATGGGTTTTTGCATATAACCGGCCGATGAGTCGGGGTAGTAAAATCGCATCAACGTCGGGAATCTCAAATCACCATGCAATGCCTTTCGAGCGGTCGCCGCGTTTGCGCATTGGTTAAAATAGCCTATGACTTTTTTTTGTAGCGTAATATTCAGTCCATATATGATAATGCAAATATGATAATCACAGCATTGAAATTTCAGATTCACAGCACGAGAATGTCGATTTAATTAAACTAACCTGATGAGGACGTGGGGGATGCTATCGCCGAAGGTATTTTATTGTCCGGATTCAATAATAGGGCAACAAAAAAATGAAAATGATCATACTCGCCTAATAAGACGACCCCCCCCAAAATCAGGCTAAAAATTTGGGTCTAGAAAAGCGACTTATTCGCCGGAAAATACGGTATTAACCACATGATGTTGTACTAGGTAATTATTCAACCGATATATCTAGCTATTGTGCAATATTTTATGGCACAGGTATGCAAGGAGCTACTATCAAACTATAAAACAAAAACACCTGTTTTGGGCATTGTCCGCATTGAAACATTGAGATGCTTGAAATGACACAGTGTATGATTGCGTGAAAGAGGGAATTGAAGCAGGTGAATTTTCCAGTCCATTGTCATAGGGCCTATTATAAAAATGGTATATATCATTAAACTTACAATGGTAATATTGACACTTGACAGAATATCTAATCGGTAATAATTATTTAGAACCGGAAAAAAATGGATATTACACAAAATATGTCCAAATATTTGTAAAGGATGTGTCGTACAATACTTCATGCTTTTAGAGTCGCTGGGCATTGCACAGTTGCATGCACATTTGGCAGTCATTGTACAGAGTGGGCTTCCCCCCAATCGCCCGAATCTTTTTTGCTAGCGGTCTACTTTCCGATAATAACACTTAATTAAGGTTGGTTGGGTAAGATTACATAGCATACATACTGAAAATAAATCATATTAATATATATGATTACCCAATATAATTCTATTAAATTTCAAAACAAAATAGATATTATTCAAAAATCAGTAATTTATTTCTCAACAAAGCTGAAAATATGAAATAGAGCAGGGACAAAAATTTAAAAAAAAATTTAAAGTGTTACAAAAACAAAAAGGGAAAACAATAATCCTTCAGCTATTTTTTACCCAAAAACATCAAGTTTTAGTTTCAGTTTGACTGTGGCAATTGTTAAAACATATTTTAGATTTCAGCCAATTGAGATCTGTATTGAGATTTGTTGAAATTCATCAGACAGAAGGTTCACAAATGTACAACTATTCAGATTACTGGATTAAGTCGTTCAACGGGTTGGATTTGGGCTGCGGAAATGTTTGCACTTATACAAATAAAGTAAATATAAAAAATCATATCCAGGGATGAAGGACCAATACCGGTATCGGTACTCGATAACGAATACTGGTAAATAAGAGATGGCAACCTCAGAAAGTTTAACAAAAAAATGTGCCAAAAGACCAAGTACGGTAATGTACTGTACGGTACCTCATCTCGTTCTGTCGTTACCGGTACCTACGGTGTCCAGGATAAATATGTAACTTTTACCGGTATCTACCATAGGTACCGGTACTCGATAACGAATACTGGTAAATGAGAGATGGCAACCTAAAAAAGTTTAACAAAAAAATGCCAAAAGACCAAGCACGGTACCGTACCTCATCTCGTTCTGCCGTTACCGGTACCTACGGTGTCCAGGGATAAATATGTAACTTTTACCGGTATGGTACCCTATCACCCTTATGAACCGTGACCTGACAACGCACTTAGGGTACCGGTACCATGAAATTAACTTACACGGTTACAACTAGGCTATCTCTACTTTCGCCATTCTACTATGAAAGCATTAAAAGTTCAATGTCACTGTCCCATCCAGGGCAAAAACCTCGTAACAGGCTATCGATTACGAGTACCGCCAAAATGAATGGCGACCTCATGTGCTATATTCGAATCGCGCGCGCATTTCTTCGCATAATGGAGTGTTTCGTTGAAGGCCAATCATGGCCTTACCATGGTAAATGGTTGTAAAACCGCGTACAACGGTTGCCGGCGGATTATAACGTTGGCCCAACGTAGTTGTGCTATCTGGGATAGTATAGATTCCGAATCTAAGATACTCACGGTCACTGGGGATGAATGATGCACTTATTGCGAACATTAAAATGATCATAAATATCACTCGAACATTTGATGAAATAGTACACATCATTATGAGAAGTTATGTTTGAGAGAAAATCGGAATCTGGAAAACAAATCTGGCAAAGTAAATGTAACAAATATAAAACGTTCGGATTTTGTGTCTGTGCTTCTGTTTGCAAGTAGGCTACAGTTTCAAGTATTTTGTGGCGTCTGAAGCTGCCGCGAAATTCTGGCGGAATTTCCAAACCAGGGCCGCTATGGTCAAACCCATGGCGACTGCCTTTTTAGCCGTCACAAACCAATGGCAAGATGCCGTTACCTTGGCAGCAAATCGACAACCAAAGGCGGGTAAAATTTTGCTGCCGTAATCACGGCATGTCGGCTGTAATGTCAGGGCTGTCCCTGAAGGTGATAAATATTGGATAAGTTGGAACATTTTTCTTATGGATACAGTTTTGATGAATTTGGGGTTAGGTTTCAGGTTTAAGTACATAAAATTTCGCACGATAAAGTAAAATATGGTACACGGCTTTGTGAATATACCGGTAATGGCGATATAACCACAGCAATAGCTGCCATTGGTTCGTTCGTGACAGCAGCTGCCATGAAGTGGTAAGAACTGCGCCCCTCTATTTGAGTGGATAGAGAGAATTTACCATTTATATATATATATCAAAAATATAGACTTTTTACTGTTTTGATATTTTAACGATAATTCATCCGGCATTAATAAACAGCAATTATTGCTTAGATCTTCACGATTTAAATATTATCCCTTCCTTTACGTACGAGAATTAGTAGAAAAATTATGTTTTTCATTAGTGTTCATAAAATTATGAATCAATCTTGATATTATTTTGTACTATGGATGCGACTATACTGTCTAGATACGGTATAAGTTGTATTTACGCAAACCTTGCCGTAATCTAATATAAAAAATCAATTATTTTAATAGGCATTCGAAGAAAAATAAACTCTACCTTGACACTGTTTAAATGCTTCTGATCTGCCTTGCTGATTCTGTTAGACCTGAAAATTTTCTCCAATTCGTGGCTAATGTCACGAGACAATGATAACGCCTCTGAAAATTACATAAACTTTCGGCTTCCTATTAAAATTGCTAATGAAACTGCTTGGCATCGATCACCATCATCAATATTTCCGGTATCCCATGCTCCTTCCTAACGTTCATATATTTGCTTGATTCTTAAATCAACAGACAAATTTAAATCAATGCAGCTGTGGTATCTACAGCATTTTGCGGAGTCAAGAATGGATAATTCATTAATATACTATATACCTATATTATAAACCAACTTATCTTTGATTGTTGGGTGGCAAAACATTTTTGCACCGTTATAGATCAATTGCCTCAGAGCAATATGAAATGAACAAACAAATATTGCAAAATATCAGGCACCACCGATGTTGACGCTACGAAGTCCCTTGTGAAGGCCATTTCCTAGTTTAATTGTTGATATATATATATTTTTTTATAGAAATCGACGATAAGCTTTGATAGCCAAGTATAGTGCACGGGTTTTGGTTCAATATAATTAGAAAAACAAATTTTGCATTTTTGTGCTGTGCTTTAACAATCACTCTTTTTAGGTATATATATATGATTTATTATATTGTCTTATTCGCTCAGTTGCCATGTTTGTTGACGACAAATGTTCATTACATAATATCAATTTCACCAAATGTACAATTTTCTATGCCCAAAAAACAAGTTTTGCCCGTAAAACTAGCTGCAAAGAGAAGCGATTTTTTTTTCTCTCAACGACAACAAGGAAAAACCCAACAATACCAAAAATTTAGAAAAACCATTTGTTCACTTCGTGTCAAATAAATGAAATAATTCATGTGTTAATAAGGTAAGTAGCTACCTTTACTCTTGGGCCTAGACAGTTTATAAAAATTAAATTAAATTCCTCGCACATTCTGAAATTGGAACTCTACTCTTGTCCTAAAATATTATTTACAAACGCTGTAGATCAGGCTGGTCCAAAATTGCGAGGTTGAAGAACAGCAAAAACTTTTAAGGAAGTCTCTCGGGCCGCAGTAGGAGAAAACCCAAAAGTGAACGAAATATCGCGTGTTGACTTACTTTAAATATAGCCTATTAAAGAATGAGAAATTAGAATTCAAGTCAGCCTATTATCATGTTGCATGGGTGACGTTTTTATGAAGAAGGTATATAAAGCCTTCTGTTACTTTAAAATTACTTCCCAAGAAGTGCCGTGGTATTTTTCGTATCTTTTTCCGGGTTTGGTTTTTTAATGTCGCTTCAAATTATATTATTTTGTGACATATATTATTTAAGAACACACAAGACACTGTGGTTTACCGTTGTGGTGACACCACCGACGTTTGGTGAACAAGGAAATACATTTCCTCCCAGTTTTCCTCTGTCACCTTTCTTTTGACATTCATTTTATGATGAATTGTTATATTTGACTAATCTATAATAACTTGCCGCCTGAGCAGGCCTAGTGCTATCGTTAACGATCTTCTTCTTTGCGACATCGAAATAGATTTTAGTATTAAATATTTCAAACAAAAGACTTCTAGTAGTAGACGCCGAGTAGTTTTGCCAAGGAGTCGGATAAATGACATTGTACGATTGCGGGTAGAAAAATTAGATTCGCGTTTTTTTTGCATCATAGATGAAAGAATGGCCTTCTGCCAGGGTGAAAATCAGAAGCCTCATCTTTCATTGGAAGTCAAGACGAAGTTAAAAATTTAAGGATCAAAAAGTAAGGGTTATAGCGAAGTTCAAGCTAGCAAGGATTGTTATGCAGCGGGATGATCACGGCGATGCAGTGAAAGATAATGCTATCACGAGAACAAGAATGAGAAAATTGCTACATTTCATAGTATATCCCTGGGAAAGAATGTAGTTCATTCTTATGTTCCATGCCAATGCTTTTCAAACTACCAAAGACTTTCAACACTTTTGCTTCTTCTCTTCTATAAAAATACATTGTTATTATATATTCGCATTTCCATCTGTTTGTTCGTGATCCCAGATAACCGATCAGTGGCTTCCAAGGGGGCCGGGGTTCCCTTTTAGGAAACCCTATCATAAACTATAAAAAGCTACCGTGCTTCTCTTGCCTGTTGCCATGCTGTCTTTCGAATTAAACTACAACAAAAAATTCACGAAAACGGGTTTTAGATTTTATGATTTCCTCATTATTCTTGACAATGAATGATACATATGCGGGTGGTAAAATGCCGAGTTATTTCAACAACATGATCATGTTTTGCAAGTTACAACCAATATTTTATATGTAACTTTGCTTGACAGAGCCCCAAAGCCAAGAGATCTGAATACAAATATCAAAAATGTGAGGCCAAAAAAGTTACACTACAACATAGCCAAATGTGCTGTATTTACGATAGATAACAGGTTTACCAAAAAGCATTACATGAAAAATGGTAAAATAAAGATCAATTTAGCAATATCTACTTAGGATTAGGTGAAATGCTTCTGCTGATGATTTTATCTGTTTGTTTCGGAAGTTTAATGACAGAATTAATTGTGGTTGTTGGGGATGTTTCAAAAAAAAGATTGAATGGAAAAAGGTTTGACAAAATGTCAAGGTTTGAGAGTAGTAGAGAAGTAGAAAAAATACTCCAATGTGTTCTTCATTGATAACCACGCCACAAAACTTCTCCGATAAATATACGCAGCAATTGCGAGAGGCAGAAATGCCAAGATGGAATTTCATCGCATTGCAAACCAATATAAGCGATTCTCAGATATATTCGCGCATTCCCATCTGAACAGCGTGGAAAAGATTATACCTATCTACACACTTTAAGAACTATGTCAGATGAGCGTCATATTATTGAATATCAGTAAAGAAATAGTGCAATGGGAAAAGACATATGAGGCGGAACTTTCAGTAGTATGCATCAAATAATCTTATTGTGGAATATATATTTAAAAACAATTCGTCACGCCACGCTTAGATACCAATTGGCACTCATGTAAACTGGTAAGAGGCACGCGATGGAGCAGATAATATGAGTATCCATCCCCCAACTGTCATTTGAGTAGGTACTGCTGTTTTTAATGCAGATGATACTGATTTTTTGTATTGAAGATTTACTGGCATCACCGATTTAAGGATGTCAAGTAATGGATATAAATAAACCATTTGAAAACCAACACGCAGTATTACAAAACTTACTTCCAACACGCGGTTTGAATGAATAAAAAAACTGAAACTAATATTCTTTAAAACAGCATACAAATTCTATGGAATGAAATCATACACAAAAGCTCATCAAAAACCTATAGCTCAATAAACAAGTGGAATTGGATGCATGTTCGCAAAAATGTGCGCGTTACTACGTACAACCGAAGCACGCAGGAAAATGTATGTGATGTACTAGTGATCAGAATGTTTGACTCAACTATGTTGGCATAACAGGTGCACATCTCGGTTTTGCATACGCATACCTTCTATCTCCACAAGGATATATTAATTTGGCCAAAGTCAAAGCTGCACCTGAAAGGTTCCGGTTCTTCCAAAAGAAAACACGTTACACATCGTTAGATACCAGTGGATGGTTTTGCATGGCCTTGTTCGGAGTGAAAGACGAGGTCGAATATTCCAATCCATTTCAACTAATAAAATATTTCCTAAGTCCCTAAGCTTTAAGAAGGAAAACGAAATGCCCGCATAAACACAAATGTAGTCTGACGAGCGCAAAAGAACGCGGCTAGATGATGTCGATAGATCTTGGCTTATATTAGTGAAATAAACTACCATTAATCTACTAAAAATGAATTTCTGACATTGTAAGGAGATGGAATGTTACTATGTATTCAAAACTAACCCATGTAGTTATGAAATAATTGTTTTTAACGAAAAGGTGCTCCCTAAGTATTCGTACCAAGATGGCGCACAACCTGAACATTGCATGTGTACCAGGTTGGGATTCAGGCTGTGCGTCATCTTGGTACGCATACTTGAAATCCATTTAAAAAAAATTGCTCAACATTATATACTCCACACCCACCTGGGTATCATTATTTATGTCATCGACATTATATCTAAACAATAAAAAACTTTATGTCCCAAAACAAT